GTTCCATTGTTTCCCTCCGAAAATACTCATCAGCTCTGCACTTAATTAATACAGCCATCTCGCTAATAAACTGATTCAAACAAAAAAATAATCATCAAAATCGGTCCACGAATCTCGGAGATATGCACGAACAACAATTGAAAAAAAAATAACAAATATGACGTATAGAACCTCTTTCTTTTTGAAGTCGGTTAAAATTTTTAATTTACCTTTTGAGGTACTGCATGCGTAACAACACGCCGGAGTCCTCTTTTAGTAGTATATAAGTCTCCAGCTTCAAAATGGATACTGCAAATGACACTATATTTATTTGGAATCCATTCATCATCTCCGTTACAATTCCTAATAACTTGGATCCAGTCATTTCTCCATTCTACATTTTCTTTAGGGAATCTGATAAAAAAGAATAACAAATAATAGATTGAAGCTAATGTCACCCCAATTTCCCATATTTTAGGTAATATGGTTACGTGAACATTGACAACACTGGACTTTAGATTAATTATTTTGTGCTTAGAATGAAAATTGATTTCGATTTCTAAAAACTAGAAAAAAGTGATTATATTGTTCATTTACCTATGAAACGTGATTCCTGGATTTTTTTTCTTTCGGTCACTACGGTTTTTACACCATTTTACCACGCAAGACATCTTGTTTTAACTTATTTTTATCTCCACTTAACGTATCGGCTGCTTTGACGTTTGCACGCGTAATGGCTGACTATGGTGTGAATGTGTGTGTGCCGGCTTGTACATATAGCGACCTGGCCGACTCTGAGCGACACAGTTTGTTGTTTGCCGGGACTCTGTCCGCCTTTTTTTATACGTCCATGATCGGAACCTCTAAATTTATTAGTAATTTGTTTGTCCTAGTTCCAACGCCTGAGCGTGTAAATTTTTCCTCGTTGTAAATCATTATTTATAAATGAATATTATAATATATGGATTAACGAAATTCTTCATTCCGTCAATCATTTCTAACTGCCTATGAAACTACTACCGGATTATTAAATGAAATTTGGTTTTAATATAAAAGTTTGAAATTTTATGAAGCACTTCTAATTTGTACCGTTTCATTTACATCTTTACACTGAAAAACAATCCTCATAGTTGTCTATACCACGAGCCTTGATGAGCGCGCGGGCTCCAATTATCGGCCATCTTAAAAAGGATTCAGTTTGGTGAATAAGGAGATTTTCCGTTACCCCCAGTGGGATTAATTTGTGGCAGTCCAATTAACTATTGAAACGTGCCTCGCTCATACAAATGAATTTAGTAGGTATAAAGTAATTCCTTATGAAATATTTTTTGAATGTAAAAGAAGAATAGGTACCTTAATATCAACACAAGTTAGCTACACCCCAAACTGCCCAAAAATGTTTGAAATATTTTAAATAAATCTCAATCAACCATTCATTGCATTCTTATACGTAACTGATTGCAATTTAAGAACCACATAGAGAAAATATAATCTTCCTCTTCTCTTGATGTTTAAACATTAAGTTTGCCGAGTTTATTATTTTGTAGTGTACAACTTGACAACATTTATTCAGTGTTTTAACTGCTATTGGTGCATCTTCCTTCGGTAAACCCTAACATCCTTCATGAAACAAAAGACTGCTTCGTGCTGACAGGATGTAGACGTAGTTTAATATTCGCGGCGTGTCGCGACAACAATGCCCGATGAAATTTTGTATTTGTAATGCGTATGATATGCCTCACGTTCACTTAAATTCTCCCTAGATTCGCTTGGGAAAAGTCTATAATGAAACAGGTTTTAGTCTGTGGTGATAGGCTATACCAACAGAAACGATAGTTTTTGAGATTAATAAAAAGTTTGAGAATCGTGTGTAAGGCATGTGCTTAATTTCAACTCGCTTTAATGAAGAACTGTATTGTACAAAATTATAACAGTATACTATGTTATGTATTATAATGAAATCACTATCTAATTAGTAAACAAACTTGAATGTAGAAGGTATAGTCAGTGAGTATGATTCTTCATGTACTGTTATTAACCCAGAATATAAGCAGCAGCCACCAAGTTGCATGTTGAATGGAGCCAGCTAACTGTTACAGCTACTGCTGTTAACACTGCTTAGGAAAGTTTGAGATATTTATTTTAAATATAGGAAGACAGTGGTGTCGATTCTGGCACGATTCTCTGAATCTAAACTGAAATTTGACAACAGTGTATCCTTGTCGTTCTCTATACAGAATGAAAAGGAGAGACTGATGTTAAATTTAGTTTTAAGTTTAGAGAATCACGCCAGAATCGACACCATTACCACTATCTTTATTTATTAAGATATTCATTAAAGTTCGAACAGAATAATATCACAGTATAGAAAAATATAAAACAATTCAAATCAATTGTTATTATTTTTATGGGATAATCGGTGAAAATAAAATAAATGCCTACTATCAAAATACATAATTATTATTTTGATAGTAGGTATTTATTTTATGTAAATTTATCAGACTTTAGTTCAATTGTAAATTAGTTTATTGTAATTGAGTGATGTTTATTCAGAGAACACCAAGTATTGTGATACCCTGACAGGGTTCATGTAACGTTATTTATGTTGCAAGAAATTATTTGAAATATTTTTGGAAGTGAGTATGTTTTTGCTGCTCTAAACATTAATAATTCAGTTTTAATTTCAAGAAAGCTTTGACTGGCAAAAGTCTGCTTTAAGCAAAATATAGTAGTTGCCTATTATATTTTTTTTAGAAATATAGTATTTGAACCCCTAATATAGTAGGATACTATATTATATATGTAGTTGAGTCGGCAACCTTACTTCCACCAAAGTTCCACCTGTGGATCTAGACCTGCATGGAAATGTTGAGAATAAAATGGAAAAACCTATAATGCGATTCAACTAAGAATAGGACCGACTGGGCGCCATATTTTGACGTCATAGCTGTCAATTCAAACCAAATAGGTAGAGTGAGCAAAAAAATGTTGCTATTTAATAAAATTTATTTACTAAGATTAGTTGTGACAAAACATCAGTTTTTTTAATAAAATTAATTTACTAAGGTTGAGAAAGAACACAACCGATTTTTAATAGTATTTCTTTACTAAGACTGTGTGAAAAAAAACATTAATCAGAATCTAGCTCTTCAATTTCGCTCATCTCTGCATTACCGCCGGAGAAGTTATGAATAATCATGCAGGTCACATACGAACATGCATCCTATATGTAAACGAAAGTTTTAAATCGTGTTTCTGAACGCAACATAAAGTGACATTTGGTTGACGATTTAGGTTATCAATCATTCATAGCCAATACTCAAAAAGTGAAAAAAAAACAAATAATATTAATTATCAACATTTGCATTTGTTTGTTTAAAAATGTTTGGTTTTTATTCTTGAATCAGCTGAGTGCTAAAAAAGTATTTAGAGATTTTTTTGCTTTTCAAGCGACATTTGACAGATGGAGGTCATTGGCTTTCCTATTCTTATTTGAATCGCATTATATGTTTCAATTTGAATTAAAAACGATGTTGCAAGTGGACCAAATCAACGTTTCATTACTTTTAACATCGTGATTTATTATCGCTATAAAGTTCTTGAGTAGGTACTTTATTGATGAAAATTACTCCTTATTTGAAATGCAAATGAAGCGATGCACCCGTAATTTTACATCGAAAGTTTCATTGTCTTTATGTGCGTTCGTTAGGGTGGGGTGCGGTGCGCGTGCGTCGCGGTCGATTTAGTGGGCTAACTCGATACTTAACCGATGTATCATCACGGAATCCGTTACGTACAATCGACCTAAAACGAAGAGTTACAAATTGACAAAACCAGCGCTTCTATTCGGCCGGAATAAGAGCGAAATCTGTTAGTGTCATGGCCTTCGTGGTACCACTCACTACCGCAGTACCACATTGGCTGACTCAACGCCTCTTTGTAATGAATTAGAACGCAGTTTTCATACTTACTGTTTAGTTAGTAGGAAGTTATGTTGATGGGTTCATTATGTTCTGTACTGATTGATACTTACATAAAGGAGACCCGGCACTTTTCATAGAAAAAATGCTAAACTTGTATACAGTTGAATTTGGTCTCAAAATAAAGCCAAAATTATTTTTTACATAAAACTACTTTTGTCTTATTTTAAATGAATCGTGGAAAGAAGTTATTTAATGATTAATATTTTTTGATAAAGAAACCCTTTTGATGAAAAACCTACGTATTTGACATTGACAGCTAGCTGCTGATGACAAATATTGCCAGACAACGTTACCCAATTATGAAACACAGATAAAAAAATAAAAAAAGTATACAACTTTGGCACAAAATGCCGGGTGTCCTTTATTTGTCATTTCATTCATAGTTTATCGAATTAAACAGTAAAAGATTCATTGTTTTAAACTTTCATGGTCACTAACATTATAGATATTAACGGGATTGTTACCATGTATCTTGTTTTTTATGAGTCTCCGATATTTCGGCACTGTTGCACGCGCCATGATCACGGAGTAACTGAAGTAATTGTGGGTAGATGTTATTGGCAGACATATCGGTCTACCCTCTGACGTAGTCTTTTACTGCGTTCGATACCCCTAAAACAAGGTACATGTTAACAATCCCGTTAATATGGTATAAAGTAAAAGATTCGTCTTTGGTTTATTTTCACAATGCCATTATTTGTGTAGCTCCTTTCGCACTTAATTAAAAGTTATCTAGCAATGAGAGCTATATTTGCAATAACTTGATTTGTTTCCGTATTTGGAAGTATGGGTACTCCACACCATACTGTACAGAAAACTGCAGCTAAATTCTCTTTTGTTGTATTCTTGTGTTGCCATAAGCATAGTTAAAATTCCTGTACTTCCTGCATCGAGTGTAAGGTGATGGGATCAGGGGAGCCAACACGTAAATGACATACCCTTTGCTGGAAGAAAGAGATAACAAGTTTCCACCTACCTAATTACACCAAAAGTTATTGCATCTGCATCATTAAAACATACTGTTTCTGTACATTCCAGTTCCCAGCACAAGATGGCCTGCTCCGTAGACGCACCCTCCCTCAAGGACCTGCCCAAGGTAGCCACCGACCTCAAGAGCCAGCTGGAAGGCTTCAACACCAGCTGCCTAAAGGATGTCGACACCAACGAGAAAATCGTACTCCCGTCTGCAGAAGGTGCGCTTTGAAAACTACCCTCCCTTAATAGCTGAAAATGCTGTGTTCAAGTCCATATTCTCCACTTTCCTACCATTTCTTCGTTTGTTCATTCCCCTCTTTTTCTCTATACTTACCTAGATGTACCGTATCATAGACAGCCCTGGTTTAATAGGAACTCCATTGAAACTCACGTAAAGTGTCTCACATATATACCCTGTGGGGGGCGGCCAGTTGTATTCGCTTGCAATGTAAGAGAGTGTTCAAACACGAGCGACCAATAAGGACAGACCGCGGCTTCAGCAGGCCGCGTCTGTCTGTGAGACACCATGCTTCTTCCACACCTGCGCGACGAAGCTTCGGGAGTAGCTTTGAATTCATCATCATCATCAGCCTATTAATGTCCCCACTGCTGGGGCACAGGCCTTCCCTATGGATGGAATAGGGAGATTGGGCCATGAGGATTGGTGGGTGCTAACGACTACAGATGCAGCCGGGACCAACGGCTTGACGTGCCTTCCGAAGCACGGAGGGGCTCGAGATAGTAAATGATTGGTCACCCATCCAATGACCGACCACTGCGAAAGTTGCTTAACTTCAACGATCGCAGCCGAACGCGCTAACCACTTGCGCCATCGAGCTCCTCAGCTTTGAATTAGTACTGTCGTAATGAATTATCGGGCTGCGTGTCTAGACGATAGCTTTACAGTTTACACGCATATAAGATGTTGTGGGAGACGATAAATTCGTATGTACAACTGAACGAGCGTACTAAATTTTAAATTCGAATGCAAATTTTAGCGCATAATATCTTCGTTACGCAGGTGAGGGACATAGATAAATGATTGGTCTCGCTTCGGGAAACGCTGAGAGTCACCAGGATCCCACGATACTCGTTCCGGCAGGCGAGGAATGAGGGCTATCGCGTATGAGTCCGCCGCTAGAGGCGCTAGTGTAGCGTGAGGTCTCCGAAATGTCAAATGTTATTGCTTGATGGTTGTCTACGCGGGTTTATTTCTTATTAAAATAATGTTGTGAATAATTAGTAACAATTCGGCTTAATTATGGCAAATATGAGTTATGTGGCAATGAATGTCAGTTATTAAAAATTTGAGCTTAGAAAAATGATTATGTTCCAATTTTTTCCCAATAAAACTGAACTGGGCGTCACTGTGGCATGGCCTATTATGTTTAGGATATGGTTCTTTTGTGTTAAAATACCTATATGATCTAAATGTAACCTTTGGTTTCATGTGCGTATTAATAAACTTTAAAAGTTACAATTTAGGACCTCACTCAACAGTGGCGCCATCTGGTGAGACAGAAAACGGTAGCCCTCATTGATTATCATTAAATAGAGAACGAGACCTTTACAAATGGAAGTACATAACAGCTTCCGATTAATAAAAGCTTTCATAAATAAATTAACAGTTGCCCATATTTAATTACATTGATGAGTAACAAACGCAAACAAAGAGCTCTATAATGTGATTTATCGATCCTTTGTTTACAAGTATTTATTAAGACGTAAAATTTAGTAAGACGTTTCTGTCTATAACAACTGTACTAATATTTGTTATCACAAAATAAGTCTATGATATGGACTTTGGTTGTTTGGATTTGGAGTTAGGCACCAATCAATTTCAGTGACTGACCTGAATCGCAATAAGTTTGGAAATTTCAGTAAGTTAAAGCAGATAATTCAATTATCTATATTACTTATTTAATCTTTTCAAGGGAAACCTGTTGTTGCTTATTATGCCATTAGCAATGTTTTTGATATTTTTTGACGTGACAACGTCTTAAATTAGGTTGCGGCTGGGAGTCACTTATGAAAAAGTGTAACGCTCGGTAACGTTACGATGAGTTTAAGTTTACATGTACAATGTTTTAGTAAACAAAATATATTTCTATAGTTAAAATTTGTGCAATTCTTATTTTCATTCAATTCCTTGTTCCTATTGTGCAATTTAATTATATTCATATCAATAAATATTCTACCGAGAAAAAGACGTTGTCACGTAAAATCTTCGCCCGTAAAACCGACTTTACAGGCAACCATTTTTTTAAACATGCTTGGAAATTTGAGCATTATTATGACAACCTGTAGGTACTGGCCACATACATGCGAGGAACTGCCGGAAAAAGGTGTATGAAAATCCATATCTGTCGTACTTTAACGGCCAAATAAATGTAACTGTACCCCTAGCACGAACCATTATCGAATTCGAATAGTTTGCAAAGCGAAATGTCAATGTCAAATTTTGTATGGTTAAACTTGAACAAAGTACGTAACGTGAACTAAAAATCAGTACACATTTGACAATGACATTTCGGAGTCGCAAACGATACTAATTCGATATTGGTTCGTGCTAGGGGTCCAGTAAACTCTATCTGTCGTTTAATTTAAAAATGGAACGAACTTTTATTCCGAAACATGGGAACCAAGGAGGTAACTTATCGAAGGTTGTATTTAAATTTCAAACTGAATACCAAACAGAAATTTGTTCATTGAAAAAAAAATGTGTGCGTGTACTAGTGTACACACGTAAGAAGTGAAACTTCTTTATGGCCTTATTTTTCGAAAAATGATCTACATGCAACTTTCCAGAAATTGGTTAAATAAAGTTAAATTAGATAAAGTTTAAACAAAAGGATTTTATTATCATAGACATGAATACAAATTACTGCCTATGAAACTGTTATGATTACACGGCTCAGTAATCTAAGGCACATGTTCCACCTCCGACGATGAACGATAAGCGAGTAGAAACTAGAAACGAATTGGCAGTCCTGAGTTAAAATGCACGCGCACGGCTTTTGACAGCCAAGCCAGCTTAACCGAGCGAGTATAGCTGAGCGAGTATCGCTGAGCTAGTATCGCTGAGCGAGTATCGCTGAGCGAGTATCGCTATGCGAGTTTGGCTGAGCGAGTCTTATCTTTAATAACTATTGTCACTCAGCTACAAACGAGTAGAGAGAGTTCTCGCCGGCGACAGTGTGATCATTCAGCTATCAACTATTAATATAAAAAAAGATGGCGCGTAACGGAAAAATGTGACGCGTAACCGAAAAATGTGACGGTAAATTTTTTTCCAACGCCGATAAAGAAGTTTCACTTCAAAAAACAAATGAATGAGTGTTTTTGTTCGATGTTCGTCATTGATTTTGAAAAGTAGTTTATTATATTTTAAAATACATAATAAATTCTCCCTTGGTACTACCTACTTTGTTTTAATTTCCGCGCTTTATTTCAGAAAAGTACTATACAAGCCTTGACCTCAACTAGGCATTGATGGACTTACGTATTTACACGTTCGTTCATCAATGCCTCTTTGGCAGCAGCAGTAATGTACTATATTTCCAGAGATAGATAAGTTCTTGAGTTAATACTCACATAAAGAAGAATAGAGTAAGCAATAAAAATAAATTCTTTATTGTTCTGTGTGAACACTGCCGGATTTAGGGGAGGGTAACCGGGGCGAAAACCCCGGGGCCTCCACAAACGGGGGGCCCCCACAATAGAGACTTGGGAAAAAAAAATCTTTCAAATACCAACTAGTAAAAATCTTTTTTCCTTTGATTTTTTTTTTGCTCCTTTACCTTTACCTACAGCCTACAGTACTTTGTACATCTAACATTAATGATTATTTGATTATATTAATCTTAAATAACAGAAATCATTGATCTATATTTGTTCACTCCAATCAGGCAATTAGTGAAATATCAAAATCTCAAATGGCCCTGATAAGCACTTCCAATTCACTGCCCATCTTGAGGGAGTACCCCAATCGCTTAATGGCTGAGTGGGGTGGTACTTGCCCGCAGGGCAAAATTTAAGGCAGGGCAGGTGGGGCTGTGGCCCAGGGGCCTCTACAACTTAGCTTAGGAAATAACAACATTTCGATGGGTTAACAAGAATACAAATCCTAAGTGGCCCGGGGCCTCCACAATCCTAAATCCGGCCCTGTGTGTGAATAATGTTCAAGTAAGAGCTCGTTCCCACTTGTCGGGTGTCGGATCCGTATATTAATCGGAGGTTCCAGTGGCAGAGCATTATATATGAAGCTATTCACACTTATCGGAAACCGATTTTGTGTCGGGTGTTTTGCCAGCCCACTACGCCCGGAAAAAAAACGTGTCGGATCTAGCTCGCCTATGATTAAGAATGGCGCTGTTCATATTTGTCGGGTGTCGGGGCTGACTATCCTCCCCCGCTACCCCTTGTTCCGTCCGTAAGGCAAACCCTTTTTCAGTACAAATGCAGTCTCTAAGTCCTGTATTTTGGTAGATTATGGTCACTAATATTTCGTCATTTCCTTATTCTGTTATTAAGTTCTGAAATTTACCTAAAATCGAATATTTTCCTAAGGAATATGTGCACCCAATATTTACTTTCCATGGCTGTCTTTCTTTGTTTTCTTAAACAATAAAGGAAAGAACTTCGTCAACGTCCGTCGTGAACAGTCGCCTCGCGTAGAGTGCCTCATCATCATCAGCCTATTAATGTCCTCACTGCTGGGGCACAGACCTTCCCATGGATGGAATAGGGAGATTGGGCCATGACCCACCACGCGGGCCCAGTGCGGATTGGTGGGTGCTAACGACTGCAGATGCAGCCGGGAACAACGGCTTAACGTGCCTTCCGAAGAACGGAGGAGCTCGAGATAGTAATTTTTGGTCACCCATCCAATGACCGACCACTGCGAAAGTTGCTTAAGCTCAACGATCGCAGCTGAACGCGCTAACCACTTGCGCCATCGAGTTCCTCATAGTAGTAGAGTGCCTAAAATTGGTTAAAGCTTCAACCGTGACCGACAACCGATTATTAATCGTGTGTGTGAACAAAGGCACCGACATCCAATGAGGGCTATCGCGTATGAATCCGCCGCTAGAGGCGCTAGTGTAGCGTGAGGTCTCCGAAATGTCAAATGTTATTGCTTGTTGGTTGTCTACGCGGGTTTATTTCTTATTAAAATAATGTTGTGAATAATTGGTAACAATTCGGCTTAATTATGGCAAATATGATTTATGTGGCAATGAATGTCAGTTATTAAAAATTTGAGCTTAGAAAAATGATTATGTTCCCATTTTTCCGAATAAAACGGAACTGGGCGTCACTGTGGATTATGTTTAGGATATGGTTCTTTTGTGTTAAAATACGATCTAAATGTAACCTTTGATTTCATGTGCGTATTAATAAACTTTAAAAGTTACAATTTAGGACCTCACTCAACAGTGGCGCAATCTGGTGAGGCAGAAAACGGTAGCCCTCATTAATATACGGATCCGACACCCGACGAGTGGGAACCAGCTCTAAGAGCTGGATGTTCCTATTATTATTTAGGAAAACAAAAAAAGAGAGCCATGGAATGTAAATATTGGGTGCACATATTCACGAGGGAAAGATTTGATTTTGGGTAAATTTCAGAACTTAATAACAGAATTGAGAAGTGACGAAATTAAGTGTTTCTATTATTTTAGGATGTCAATATCAACATTCAACGATCTATTGACTTAAATATTAGTGAACATAAATTACCAAAATACAGGACTTAGAGACTGCATTTGTACTGAAAAAGGCCTTACGGACGGAACAAGGGGTAGCGGGGGAGGATAGTCAGCCCCGACACCCGACAAATATGAACAGCGCCATTCTTAATCATAGGCGAGCGAGATCCGACACGATTTTTTTTTCGGGCGTAGAGGGCTGGCAAAACACCCGGTTTCCGATAAGTGTGAATAGCTTTATATACAGTGGATCCCCGGTAGTCCGACAAACATTTTGCAGGGCAGTGTCGAACTATCGAATTTGTCGGATTATAGAGTACTGCCTAAGACCCCCTATAGTCCGATTTTTTTTACAAAACAGTACCTTGTAATCCGACAAATTACAGATCCAATGATAAGATTACAAATCATACTTTGTTATGTATGTCAAATTTAGTAAATTAAACAACACAATAGAAAGATTACGTTTTATTATAAAAGTAATAATAATAAATAGTGATGGTGCGTACAAGTTGTAACTTGTTCAATCGTGAATTAGCGAATACTTGTATGTAATAGACGATGTCGGATTATAGGGGGTGCCGCATTAGCCAGGGGCCGGATTACCGGGGCTCCACTGTATAATGCTCTGCCACTGGAACCTCCGATTAATATACGGATTCGACACCCGACAAGCGGGAACCAGCTCTAAGAAGTAATTTGAACTTCTTTACCAGACGTAGCGAAAGAAAAGCAACACACTGCACTGCTACAGGGTGTCGAGACATTCCAAACGTCGTCACTCAGGCGAACGGACACCGTCGAAAAGATTGTGCTCCCAAATGCGATAGGTACCTTTCATTGAGGGTGGAAGTAACAAACGCATCATTAACCTTGTGTCTACATTGCTACGGAAAATGGCTTCTTAATGGCTTACTGTCTCGTGTCGAATACTCAAACATCACTGTTTTTTTTAAATATTTGTCTTATTGTTCTTAATTTGAATGTAGCTGTCAGATTTTAACGATATGGATTCAGAGGCCCTAGTGTGGGCCTAAGCACGAACTTTGACAGTTCTGTAATTGTACCTCGGTCGAAGTTTCTATGTAAACTAAGCAACTTATCGGACGTAAGAACAAAGTGGCCCTTTCCATACAAAATTTGACGATATCGATACAATTACGGATCAAAGCCCACCAACCACCCATGGCCTGGCGAACCTTCTTGGTTATGCAAGCCGAAGCAGCGGGAGATACGCGCGGAATAGCCTCCACCGCGCGTACTTTCTTCACTCCCTACAAATTATTCTTATCTCCTTGTCCCTATGGTCCCTCTCCCCTTTCTGGGGCGGACGTACACGAAACGCCTTCGTCGCAATCCCAGTCGTCCTGTGCCCACTCTGAAGTGGTACCGCTGGCTCCAAATTGTACGGTCCTCTCTTCTTTTTCGCCTCGGGTCTTCTTTCTTCAACTTTCGACAATTACGGATCAGTTAAAGTAAGTGTTAGGGCCTCTTGACTACTTTCGCTCCTAAACTAGGGAACAGAATATTATTCCGAAAACTACATTGAAAAGGCCACAATTAAGAAATAACTATTTGGACCATTTTTGGATAATAGACGTTTGATCACCCCTTGTAATAGTTTTTGTCCTAAAAAGGTCCTTAACCACCATCTGACACGCTACCTAGAGGATAACACTCTGATTAATGATCGTCAGTCAGTATGGTTTTAGACCGAAACGATCGACGGGTGATCTTCTAGAGTACTTGACTCATATCTGGGGTGAGGCTATCGACAAGCGGGGCGAGTCCTTGCCTATCAGCATTGACACTGCCAAGGCGTTCAATAGGGTCCGGCACAAAAGCCTTCTCTCCAGGCTTCCGGCATACGGTCTGCCAGCCTAGGTCTGTTCCTGGGTAGCTGACTTCCTGCATGAGCGTAGAATTCGTGTCCTTACGGATCGTAGTACTTCACGGTTCATGTCAGTGAAAGCCGGCGTTCCTCAGGGCTCCGTCCTAACCCCCACTCTCTTTCTGCTGTATATCAATGACTTAATTCCTCTTGCGAATATTCATTGCTACGAGACGATAGTACAGTGCATGCGGGGTATATCGCACAAGCAGCGGCTGGACAAGCGTACAAATGAGAAACGGGAGAATCTTGTCATTGGGCTCAATCAGGCTTTGGACCGCATTTCTGATTGGGGTATCAAGAACTTGGTTGAGTTCATTGCTAAAGAAACCCAATTCTGCACTTTCACCGCAAAAATGTCGCCATTCCACGTCCTTCCCTTCAGGACACAACACTGGAACTAGGGAGCAGTATCACCATGCTCGGTATGTACATTCGCGGTCACTTAAATACCAAACATTACATCGAAAGCGTAGTAAAAACGGCCTCACGCAAACTCTGAGTTCTGAACAAGGTTTCTTCACACCCGAGCAACTGTGCTTGTTGTATACGCAGTTGCGATCTTGCGTGGAATATTGCTCGCACCTCTGGTTTGGCTCCGCCAAGTACTTGCTCGATGCTTTGGATAGGTTACAGCAGCGCGTGATCCGCATCATAGGCGATGAGGAGGTGACTAAACACCTCAGCCTCTTCAATTACTCCGTAACGTGGCGTCACTAAGCTCGTTCTATCGTCTGTACCACGGCGAGTGTTCTGAGGAGTTATTCTCCCTTATTCCACCTTCCCCTTTCTCTCAGAGGACTACGCTGGCCTACGTTGTCACCGTCTAACTGTGGCCACAGTTTCAATGCGTACAAAGAAATTTGGTGACTCATTTCTTTGTCGCACTATCCGTAAAAATGGGATGCTCTACCCGCCCACGTCTTTCTTACAACCTGGGATCCTTTAAAAGAGGCGTGAAGAAGCAACATGTAGGCTGGCAAGGTGAGGATGGCTGGCGTGGCAGGTAGAACTGCTGTACCAGCTATCTTCGCGTTTATGCTTCACCGTAACTTAACATCAGGTGGGGTGGAGTCATTTGTCGGACCTATCTATAAAAAAAAGTGGTCAGTCTTTGTGTTAGAATTTACAACAAGCATTTATAAACGCCTCCAGGAGACGAGATACGAATAATTACGTTTACGCCTAATGAATCCATAGGAATCACACATAAACGTTAATATATATAAATATATATAATCATAATTATTCGAAAATGGGTCAAGATCGGTTCAGACATACATATAATTAAATGATGTATTGTTATAAATTGAGCATTGCTAATTTATCCCTTTGCTTTAAATAATATACAGGTATTAAAAACAATGTAGACACATCGGAACATTAAAAGTGTTGATAACATTTCACACCGTTGATTTTGGCGTGGCTGCATAGCATACTACCCACCATTTTAATCTGGTTTTATAAGTTTAACAAATTATCATTCTAGGAAAACTAATTTGTTAACGTTGTGGCAAGTTGTGGTTTACTTGAAGAATAACGACTAAAATATTTTCATTATTAAAACACTAAGCATGTTTTGATCTTTTGACTGAAACACAACTTTCATTAACACTTTAAATTACCCGCTCAATTGCGCCAAAAAAAGGCTACTTTTTTTTGGCTCGTACGATTTGTACATTGCCAGTGTTGCAGTAGTTCAATAATTTGTCAACTAAATTCTTCATTGTCTATGGTTTCCAGATGTTGCCACAGAGAAGAACCAAAAGTCCCTATTCGACGGAATCGAAAAATTCGATGCCACTAGGTTGAAACACACTGAAACACAGGAAAAGAATCCGCTTCCCGACAAAGATGGTAAGAAAATAATTCCTTATTTTTTTATGATTTGCACGCATTTGCAAGTTCTTGTTATTAATATTCTTCTGTACTGTTTGCACTGCTGATTGCTGCCCAACTCCGTGATACCACTGCCTTAGCCAAACTTACGATATGGATGATCCTCTCAGCAAAATTGTATGTTTAGCAACAGCCTTATTTTAAGTTTGTGCTTCTCTCTTACCTTATCAAAACTTCAACAATACTATAACCTTGATGTGGGGTTATTTTTTAAAGAATTATTGTTTCATCACGGTTTTACCCGAATGTGAATAAAATAAAATTTTGTAATCAATGAATAAAGAAAGGACCCTCTTTTCAGGCCTTAGTTAGGCCCTGTCAAAATATCAGTGATGCAGCGACCTTGGTGTCGTTGTGACACTGTAATGATATATGGACCTAGTTGACCCTTGTTTTTTTATTTGTGCTTTTATTTCTAATTTTCAATGTTATTGGTCAATAAATTATTTCTTTTCTCATTAATTAATTTAATTAACGCAATTCTTTATTGATCAGTACAAACGTAGACCTGCAATAAATTCCCTAAAAGAGTTGAATCTTCAAAACAGTGCCATTATTGTTTCTACTACAGCATGTATAATAATAATATTCTTTATTGTTTTACATCATACAAGAGACATAAGTAAATTAAAAACATGATAGAACGTACACAATATAGGCAGCCTTATTGCTAGGCAGCAATCTCTTCCAGGCAACCCATATACATAGAATATTTTGATTATATATTATTTCTTATAAAATTGAGCATGTATTGCATATTATATTTTTATTATAAGCTTTGTTTTGTATTTATGTGTTTCTTGCACGATTCTGCTTATGTCAGTCGTCGCAGCAGAGAAGGCGCACCAGAATCTCCTAGATGGGGTGGAGCACTTCGACAAGAGTCAGATGAAACACGCGACGACCGAAGAAAAGAACCCTCTGCCGCCTATCGAAGGTTCATTTCAGCTTGCTTTTTGATTTGTTTTTTATGCATCTTGCGCTTTGAATATGCCACACTGTAAATCCTCTTTTAAGATCTGTACCCTTAACACGAACTATTATAGAATACGTGTAGTTGAATTCGATGTAGTTAAACGTCAAATGTGTACTGATTTTTAGTTCTCGTCACGTACTTTGTGGCGCTGCTGTTCAAGTTTCCGTACAAAATTTGACATTGACATTTCGCACTCGCAAACGTTACGAATTCGATATTGTTTCGTGCTAGGGGTACTGTACCCTTAGCACGAACGATTATAGAATACGTATAGTTGAATTCGATCTAGTCAAACGTCAAATGTTGATTTCTAGTTCTAATTACGTTCTTTGTGGCGCTGCTGTTCAAGTTTCCATACAAAATTTGACATTGACATTTCGTACTCTCAAACTATTTGAATTCGATAATGGTGCGTACTAAGGGTACTGAGATCCAAGCAAGAATTTTGACAGCCCCGTTATCGTATCGTCGTTGTCAAAATTTGTATGGGAGAAGCCAGTTTGTTCTTACGTCCGGTAGAGGCGCTGCTTAGTTTTCATACAAACTTTGAGCTTTCAAAATTCGGGCTTGCGCCTCTGAAGTGCATATTTCATTTGAATATAGTGAAATCATAATATTTAATGACACGTGTATGTGAGGTTTATAATACGATTTTTTACTGTGACTCTCTGACCGGCACGGTCACGGTGTGATTGATTTCATCGGATCAGTGTAACCGATATAAAATCCTGTTACAAAACAAATGTATAGTAGTAACTAGAGTCGGTGCGGAAAGAGAATGGGATTTAGATTGGAGGGCGCTGTAGTGCTTTTCTACCGTATTTGTAAGGTTTTACCCCTTTTAGACATGATTAAGTACAAAAAACCGCAAGAAATCACAACAACAAACAAACAAACCCGTATCAATACAAAACTTTGACGTTTCACAGATTGCTGGGTTTGATTGCCAAATAAAAATTTTAATGTTAGTTCCGTTTTTCGCCACGCCCATTCTATTTCCGCACAGACTCTATACCGTTATGCCTCTTGTTTATTTGACGCCGGTCACATAAGAACGATGTCACCTGGGGGCCATTGCCTAACGGGATTGCTATGTCTATCACTATCGCTTACGTATTAATTTGTCATTTCGGACCGCCGAAGGTTTTTAAATTGCTCACGCTGATTTTCTTTAATATTGCTATGATCAATGCAAAAGGCGGCGGTTAGAAATAACAAAATGAAATCGTAAGCGATAGCGTTAGCCATATCAATCCGTAATAAGTAAGGCGATTAGGTAACTAACTAGCCGACATGTCAGGATATTTTTTTTTAAGTATATCAAAAGAAGTCCTTTTCATTCTTCGAAACCTGACTGAATTATACTCATAATCATATTACTATTTTTTTTTCTAATAGCAATTGCAGCCTATTTCAAAGGAGTCAATAAATTAATGAAATTTAAGTAAAGATATTTAATTTAATAGATTTTTAATTTATTATTTGTTAATCGCAGCCACCCGCGATTTCGTCTGCGTTAACTATAGTTTTTTGAGAATCCCACAGGAACCTCATATACTTCCGGGATAAAAAGTATCCTATGGCTCAATCCAGGTAATGAATTATATGTGTGACAAATTTCATCTAAATTCGTTCAGCTATTTTTATGTGATTGAGTGAAAAAAATACAATCTTTTACACATTCATAATACCCTACTTTTAGATTATAAATGTGAAAGATTGTATTTTTTTATTCTATTCCTTGTTTGCCTGTTCTGGAAATTAAATGTTCAATATGTCGACAGCTATCGAAGCGGAAAAGGAAAAGAACAAGTTCTTGAACGGCATCGAGAACTTCGACCCCACCAAACTGAAGCACACTGAGACATGCGAGAAGAACCCCCTGCCAACCAAGGACATAATCGAGCAAGAGAAGACCGCTTGAATAGCGACTACAATTCAATGAGGGCTACCGTTCTCTGTCTCACCAGATGGCGCCACTGTTGACTGAGGTCCTGAATTGTAATTTGTAAAGGGGCCCTTATACGGAACGATTGATCTGTACGATCCGTCGATTCAGACCGATCGAAACGATGGATCGACAGTAAATAAAACTAGTTTTTACGGGTTAATGCACGAAACTTTATTTATTTATTGACGTTTCGTAGCCTTTATAGGCTTCGTCGTCAGAATAAAACGACAGTGTATGTCAAGATCGTTAACGATTTACTTAATCGCAGACGATATCGGAGATCGCAACAATAACACATGCAATCATGAATATCGTAAACGATCGATCGTCAGTGTCCCTTATACGGTACGATTGATCTGTACCAATTGTCTGTATTGATCTTAACGATTTTCTTCAGATCGATCGCAACGACGAATCGTTCCGTATATGGGGCCCTTAAAGTTTATTAATACGCTCATGAAATCAAAGTTTACATTTAAAATTATATTGTAATACAAAAGTACCGTATCCTAAACATAATCGACCGTGCCACAGTCAAGCGCAGTTCCGTTTTGTTCGAAAAAAAAAGGTCATAATATTTTTTCTTAGCTCCACTTTTAAATAACTGTCATTCATTGCTACGTAACTCATATTTGCCATAATTATGCAGAGTTATTACCAAATATTCACAATATTATTTTATTTGTTTCTTAGATTTTCACGCACATCACTCATTAAATAAAACTAGTTTTTCGACGTGCATTAACCCGTAAAAACTAGTTTTATTTAATATTATTTTAATTAGAAATAAACTCGCGTAGTTAACCCACAAACAATAACATTGGACATTTCGGAAACCTCACGCTACACTAGCGCCTCTAGCGGCAGATTCATAAGCGATAGCCCTCATTCTCGCAACTATATCTCGCTAGTATCGCCGTATTTTAAACTCGATGTAAGTTATGTAACAGGGCAGTCTTGCGAAGTTCATCTCTCTTATAATAACGAAAGAAAAGTCTGAATTATCCATGATGTGTGAATCGGTGGACTTCGCTAGCTGCAACCGTACATTATCATTAGTATATAGGAACCAAAATTTCTATGTCACTTGTAACGGTATATATTTTGATTAAGTGTATTTTATGAGCATTTTATAATTTATTTTTTAAATATTGAAACGAATAATTAAGTGTTAATTGTCAAGTACTGATTTATTTAAGTCGGGAACACTTTGCACTCCGGTAAACTGGTTTGATTAATATTTTGTTTTATTGGTCTGTGATTGTGTTCTCATTTAGTTGAGATATTTTAAGTATTCATGAGATTTACGCGTCTAGTTGTGTTAAGGGGTGATACATCTGGTCAATAAATTAGGAGCGTAGTTACCAAGACTCGTTTGGTTCTAAAATTTATTGCTGGCCTTAATTCCTCTGTTAACGTAGTATTTTTATATTATGTGGACTTAGAAATTACTAGTATATCCATCATCGAAAATATTACTATCATAACTAATATGCTATTTATTGCTCAACCGTTTAATGATAAGTAAGAATTGGTTTGATAATAAAAAAAAAAACAATACTGTGACGGAATTAATGATAAATCAATGTGAATAACAATAATATTTTGTATTGTATACACAACAGTAAAATAATTTTTCAATTTTATAGTAATTATAAACCATGCTATCGATGCCAATAAAACATTTTTATCAGAATTTTGTATGTTTTACAGACGGTGCTTTTTATAAAAATAATATAGGTAAAAAAAAATGCTTTTATTAATCTCCCTAATACTCCCCTGTCTTTACCCTGAATTAAATAGCACTTTGTGCGTATAAATGTTGTCTAAATAAATAACCTACCTACCTACACATATAAGCCATCACTTCGATCGACAATACCAGCACCCTTAGCACGAACCAATATCGACTTCGAATAGTTAGCGAGTGCGAAACGTCATTGTCAAATTTTGTATGGAAACTTGAACAGCAGCGCCACAACGGACGTAACGAGAACTAAAAATCAATACACATTTGACACAGACATTCCGGACTCTTCAAACTATTCGAATTCGATATTGGTTCGTGTCTGGGGTACTGTACCCTTAGCACGAACCAATATCGACTTCGAATAGTTAGCGAGTGCGAAACATCATTGTCAAATTTTGTATAGAAACTTGAACAGCAACGCCACAACGGACGTAATTACTTAAAATCTGTACACATTTGACATAGACATTTCGGACTCTCTAAACTATTCGAATTCCCTCTTCCCTTAGCAAGAACCAATATTGAATTCGAATAGTTTGCGAGTCCAAACTCCGAAATGTCTTTGTCAATTTTTTTATGAAAACTTGAACAGCAGCGCCATAGCGTACGTAGTAAGAACTAAAAATCAGTACACATTTGACACCGACATTTTGTACTCGCAAACGATACGCATTCGATATTAGCTAACACATTCCAATAGATAAAAACCTAGCTCAATCGCTTAAACTGAAAGTAAAGCCGTGTCAACAAACAATTTCGTTAGCATCACTAAGTCAATGTATCTTTCGTTGAAGGACTCTGCCATGCCACACTCAAAATAGACAAAAATCAATATCAACAACAACCTCTTTAATTGTCAACAATCGTTCATCACGATCATATATATTACCATACTCTTTGATCACGATATACTCAAAACCCATTACAAATTAGAAATAAAATTCGGAGGAAGCCGGCAACCCATATGTATTTGCAGTGTGATGGAAGCCTCTACCTCCTGCTACTATTTTAGTAATTTATCGTACGCTATCTGACCGATAGCTATACGCTCGCGCCGGTATAGCAAAGATGATGAAGAATTTATAAAATTAGAAGTAAATAAATTACTTGAAGATGGGGTTATTGAACCAAGTACTTCACCGTGGCGGGCCCATGCCCTTGTTGCAGGAGGAGGTCATCATAGAAAAAGAATTGTCATTAATTATGCGCAGACCTTTAATAGATCTACGGAACTCGATGCTTTCCCATTGTCTAATATCGAGTCCATAGTAGCTAAAGTAGCGAAATATAATCACTTTAGTCAAATTGACTTAACAGTGCATATCATCAAATAAGCATTCTTTCGGGAAAAACCATTTACGGCTTTTGAAGCGAACGGTAAACTTTACCAATTTACTCGTATCCCATTTGGTGTAACAAATGGGGTAGCTGCTATTCAATGAGCTCTTAGCTACGTGATCGAAACTGAAAAATTGAAAGGAACATTGCGTATTTAGATGACGTCACAGTTTGTGGCAAAACAAAGAAGGATCATGACGAGAATTTGGCGAATTTCATAAAAGCGGCAGCTAAATATAAACTTACGTTAAATGAGCAAAAATATAAATTAATTACTAATGTTATCAATCTTCTTGGATACAATGTGCAAAATAATGTCATCAAACCTGATCCCGACCACCTGAAACCATTGATGGATGGAAAATGACTCGGAATTAAAAAGGGCACCTAGGTCTCTTTGTTCATTACTCAAGGTGGATACCAAAGATGAATGAAACAACTAGTTCTTACATATTCTGGATTTTTAATAAATATTTTATGGACACCCTAATTATACGATCCGGCCAAATGTCGATGGCAAAATCGTTAAATGTTGACGATTTAATGATCTGGTCAAATTAAGTTGCCCACTTCATGAAATGTGACCATTTCATGAAATTCTCGAGCATTTCATGAAGTGAGCAAATCTACGATATGGCCACGACATATGTACAATGCGACCAGGATCTTGGGATTACTGCGGAGGACGGCGCTGCTGGTAAATAAGAAATCAGGATTGAGCAGTATGTAAAATCTGATCACTAATGGGAACGCTATAATTTACAACAACTCAAAAAGAGTAATATAAAATACGAACTAATTTTATGAAGGTAAAAATAAGCCTTTTATTTATAGAGGAAGGTGCAAATAAGCCTTCCATATTTCCTATTACTCTTTCCATCCTATGATAAATTATAAAATTCCCTTTAGTGAGGAGATTTTACGTACTTACTTAGTAATCTTTATTTCATCACTTGTTTATCAGCAGCGCCCTTCTGTCAATGTCATAAAAGCCCCACAAGATGTTGGTCGCACTGTATTATTTTCTTACTAATGTGTTATAAATGTGGAAGCTTGTGTGTTTGTTATTCAATCACGCAAGAATGGTTGAACGAATTTGGAAGAAATTTGGCACACATATATGTAGTTTATTTCCTAGATTAAGACATAGGATTCTGGTCGTCACGAAAAATTGTATGTTCCTATCTAATTCTCCAATAACTAAAGTTAACGCGGATATTAGTCGCGGGTGGTAGCTAGTTTTACTATAAAGCTTTGTTGTTTCAATTTCCAAATAGGAGGGATATTAAATCTCCGAGTCTCCGTTCCAATATATCTCTCTCGGCCCGTTTTAGCGGCAACAGTCATCAGTCCTATAATACGTCCATGATTCAAGTGGAAAACCAAAATCCTAGATCAGTAGTGATGTCGATTCTGGCTATAGATATAAATAACTTCATGATTCTCTTAACCTAAATTTTAATTTGACAATAGTGTATTCCTATCATTTTCTATACAGAAAGAAGAGGATAGACTGATGTTAAATTTAGTTTTAAGTTTAGGGAATCATGCCAGAATCGGCACCGGCAACAGGCAACCTGCTTAAACTACACTGTATATTTCTCGCGCTTGTTTTCTGAGTCTGAATCTGAATCTGAGTGCACTCTGGCCGTACCCTAAGTTTAGAGAATCATGGCACAATTGACGCCATTGGTGTCGATTCTGACATGATCCTCCGAACTAAATTAAAGATCAGTCTCTCCTTATCATTCTGTATAGAGAATAATTAAGATTAGGTTTAGATAATCGTGCCACAATCGATACAACTATCAATAGTTTTGGGGATTTTTTATTTCCTTTTAGTTTTGGACATGTTTTAACCTTATGGTAACCCTGTTAATGTTGGCCACTAGAAAGAAATATTCTCCCACATCCCATTACTACACACTATATTTATTCTATGGAAATTTGATGATGATAAATATTTTTTTTCTCAAATAATGAAACAAAGAAAATTTATCAATAAAACAATATTATAAAGTTTCATATAATTTAATGCAATAATTGTGGTCATCATGTTATAATTTTATTTTATACCAGATATGTCGCAATCACTGTTGGTCAATTCTTCTTCGGTGGAATCATGAGATTCAGTATCACTATCACTCTCTGTTTATATTATGAATCTCTCCATTTCCACATCAATTAGTCCGTAATTTACAAAGTACTCATCTTCAAGATGTTTCACGTGGTTACGCTCCAGTCTTCTGGCGTAATACTAGCAAATATCTTATGTCAATTCCAGACACATTTTTATCTGCAGCAACGCGTCTCTTAACAGTGGGAAGGAGATAATTTTACCACTTTGCAATTGTGTTGTTTTAGTAGTTCATCAACTGCAAAAAGCGGTGGTTCTTTGTTTCTTTTAATAATATCATATAACAATGGTTTAATCCGCCTCACTTCAAAGTAAATTTGTTTCTGACTTAACCACTCCTGCATATGTGATTTTGAGCTTGATATCGTAGGAGCATTGTTAATCTAAATGCAATGATATGGAGCGGAGGTGGACGACTTTTCCCAGGCGTAACTTTTTTTTTGATATTGCCATTGCAATTTTTCCTTCTTTAGTAATTCTTGACACCGTTTTGAACGACACACCTAAAAATTACAAAAAAAAACCGACCGACTCACAACCGAAAAAAGGTGAAAACTGACAAATTTCATTATAAATTAAAGAAAATAAATATGAAACTATAATATAATGCAACACAAACAACTTTTTTGTATGAATTTTATGAACATGACACAAGCCTAATAGAAAATGTTACTCCATAAAATTACATCAATAACCTTGTAACCCTAAAATTTTGCTGTCATGGCAGCGACTCGCATTTGATCATTTTGTAAAGGAATCAAAACTTTGTTATTTTTATTCATGTAATTGTCATAGTGTATTACTTTACGCTCCACAATCAATCTCCTTCCAATAAAAAACAACAAAAATCTACAACACTTGCAACTCACACACTTGACAAACGACAAGATGACGGAGCTGTCACATTTAGTTCGACTTTTCGCCGTAGGACTTGAGTGCTGGCGCGGACTCTAGTTTTGACAGTAACTACAGACTAATACATATTTTTAAATATGGTAACATTACTGCAAAAATGCTAAAATTGTAAATTTTAATTTTCCTTCCCGCCGGCACTTGACGGTTTGCTTTTGGCACGTGCAATTTTCATTCAGTTTTATTGAAATATTACTTTCTATTTCTAAAAACAGTTTAACACTGATGCTGACTGTTGGGAAATATCATTTTGGTAAGTGTTTCGTAAATATTTTCCAGTCATACGCTCAACTCAACATTTGCACGTGTTGTTTAACGTAGACAGCAAAACAACCATTTGCATTCACCAAACGATATAGCTACGATATGGTTTTGCATTCAATGTTAATAAGCTTATTTTGTTTTGTTCTGTATCTTGTTAAACCTATCCTAAACCTTTACATATCTGGTACATGTAGAAAGTTAGAAGCGTCATTTGTTTTTGTTTACCTGCAGATTTTTAGCTGTATACAATGTCACCCTCTCCAATCCGCTGTCGTGGACCCTGGAAAATACACAAACGTTCCTCGGAACCTGACAGGTGGTTAGATGATATGGGTTTTTTTCGAAAACACACGGCTAGGGACTCTAGTTGTCTCTTTAGAGCTGTCTCTGAAAACATCTACAATACCCAAAGATACTTTCATAAAGTGCGTCTAGACTGTGTTGATTTTATGGCCTCCAAAAGACATCTATTTGAAGGGGTAGGATTATTTCTTTTTAAACTAATGAAATACTTTCATTGAATGAACTTACTAACTGTATTGACAATTTTATTTTGTAGTCTTTGAATTGTAACTTTGAAAACTATTTGAAAGAGATGTCGAATGTATCAGAATGGGCAGGGTTTGTTGAAATTACTGCCATGAGCCACTTATATGGGTAAGATAGCTATGAACTTTCTCATAAAATTGATCAAATTCATGAATTTCCAAATTAACCAGTTTGCCACCTTACTACATAATTTCAGACGAGATTTTATTATATTTGAAGCTAACAATGGTCCACAAACAAAAATAAATAATGGGTATGGGAAAACAATTTACTTGTTTCATTCACCAGAAACAAAACACTTTGATGTGGTATATACTAAAGAAATTATTACTACATCATCATTTTGTCAATGTAAGTCTGTTGTAATCTTATTTACACATCATTTGTTATCAGTACTTAAAATAAATAATCAAATTAATAGTAACTTCCTTAGTCTTCCCAAAAACCAGAGCACATTTTATATCTCAGTTGCATTTCTGCTTTTGTGTTGTGCTGTGAATTATTGTTTTTGAGTAAGTGAATAATCTTATTTTGCAATTTTTTTTTCTTTGCGAATTTTGTTGTATGAATTTGTGGTTATTTGTAGCATTGGTCTATGAAATTCTTTATGATGGTGTTTATCAGCTGAAAGATTTGCCATATGCTGTGGACAAAATGCTCCATGACAAAGTGCCCACCAACCATATTGAGTATTTCATGTCTGAAAATGTGGAACGGCGTAAGAAGCAAAAGGAGAGGGCTAAGATTTTTATCGAAGCCACTAACAAAGACAGCAAAGACAGAAATAATAATGCAGTTGCATTGAAATGTAAACATCACACAGAGGACTTGGAACGTGCAAGCCTGTTAAAAGAATCTCTCAGTATTTTTGTGTTTAATCGCAGCCTGATTCAACTTGAAAATGTCTGCATGAATTGTCTGAATGTGAACAGTGCAAAAGATCTGCTTGACAATGGCATTACACCTTTTCCCTATAAAGTAGCAAAAGCATTAGATCCAGACATTTATCGGAACATAGAATTTGATGTTTGGAGTGAAATGAGGCGAGGTACAAAGTTTTTCATGTTCAAATGTTTGATTAAAAATTGATGAGTTGTGTGGTAAATTGATTTGGTTTTGCAGAGTTGCGTTATGGTGCTAGATATTCAGATGGCACCACTCTTCAAGTAGGTGTCAAGTGTTTGTGTAGACTGCAACCGGAGCAGATGGTGCCCTACCACTGCCATATTCAGGAGATGCATCCAGATGGTGGGCCGTGCCTGGTATTCATTGAGGAGTTAGGTGAAAAACGAGTGGTCAATTACGACCAGCTGGAGTCCTTGCCTCAGGATGAGGTCCGGCCCTGGGCACCACCGTACAGATTCTCCAGGACCAATTCACAGTTCTTGACTCTTAGCCAAATGTTGCAACAAATAGGTGCGATTTTATTTGATATTTAGTGCAAGAGTTCGGCGCAAAACCTATTTCAATCACAGGTTTTGTTCATTGAAATCTCCACTGGATCACATTACAGACAGTGCATCAATTCCACATCAATTACATGCTCCTAACTCCTGCACGCACATTCATGTAATTGTCACAGTGTTTTCATTCACATTTCGTTTCACAACATCCAGGCAACATCACCAGAAAGCAAGGCTTGAGCAAGGTCCGCAATAAAGTGAAGGGCTCTCCCGATGACCCTAAAAGCCCTGACAAGGCCGAGTCGCAAAATACAAAACTGAATTGGAATAACGAGAAGGCCGAGGGTGGCGAGGAGGGTGTCTATATGACCCAGAACAGTGTTGACTACAATGCATACCAACATTTGGACTTCATTAACTTTGAACCGATGCCTGTTAGTTTGTCTTTAGTAATGTAGTTGTATGTGTAGGTCGGTGTTATCATTTATAAGCATGTCATTTGATATTTTCCTTCAACATCCTGCTTGTCATTTCATAAATGTTCCATTTCTTAGCTTACTGTCAAAATAACTATATATTAACTCTTCATCAACAAGGAAATATGAATACACTAACTCAGAAAGTGCTTACCCAAACTGGCTGTAAAAGTTCTCTTTAATCCAATGAGGTGCTTATGAATGGGCATGATAAACTACCCATATCGTAGCTATAGTCGTGCTGAATGGTTCAACTGTTCTCTAGTAGATTAATGTTTTAGTTACAGGCGCGCGTTATGTCGCGAGGTAAGTTTTCCAGGTTCCAATGTTCTGCATACATTGTAAGTAGCTTTGGTGACGTAGTTAAATATTTTGTTAGTGTGTCATTAAAATTGTTTGATTAATTAATGTTGTAGTTAGTTTGGTTCGACGGTAATGATAGGTCATTCCCGTCCCGTATCGTTAGCCGTGTTTTGCAATAATTTTACGTAATAACTTTCGAAATAGTTTTATTTAGTTGTATTTATAATGGGGGCATTTCAGTAGGACTTGCATTGACGAAAGTCCATTGCTTCGGTACGGTACATCCGTGTCTGAATAAATTTATTTGTGAGTTCTACTAAACAACTTATAGTTTGGGGTAGATTCAGGCTGAGACCTGTTTCTTTACAATGAGCACAGAAGATACGGTGAGTACCTACTTTGCCTTTGGTTTACTTCTAAAAACCCTAATTTTACGTTTTTTTACTTTTGTTCTTGCACAAGTAATGTTTAAGAGATAATTCAACTCTTAATACCATTCAAATGGAAACATTGAAAATATTTAATACATTCTTATTATATTTTCAGAAAACTTTACTTTGAGTAATTTGAATTCGATTGTAGCAAAATTTTATCGCGAATATTACTTGCAACGCTTTCACATGGGTTTTGGTGTTTGCTTTTATTTGTAAAGACAGTAGTGTCCCCTTTTCATTCTATACAGAGCATGATAAGGATACTGCGATACTGCTGTCAAATGTTTTAACTGGACATGTGAAGTGTTAGCATAGAAAAACTTCAGCCTAACTGAAGGGTTTAATGTTTGGCAGGATATGTTTATTAGTGATTCTGTTATGATTCTCTGAACCTTAACTTAAATTGGACATCAGTGTATCCTTGTCATTCTCTATAGCGAATGAAAAGGCGAGACTGATGTTAAATTTATTTACTAGTTTAGAGAATCATGCCAGAATCTTCCAAAATGTTTGGTTTTTCGGAGTAAACCTTCAGGCTCATTGGTATATGTGATAAGCCAGAAACATATTAACGTGTCGTGTCGTGTAGTGGCGCGCCAGAAGCACATCGGTTTCATACATTTACTATGGTTAGAGACTTGTCGACGCTTTAACCTCTCTCTAACCCATAATAAATGTATGAAACCGATGCGCCACGTCACGCCACGACACGTTAATATGTTTCTGGCTATACGTCACGGTGGCGTAACATAGAGTGAGTGGTCAGTGAGACTAGTGAAATGAGTGACGTTATCGTTCTGGTGGCAGGTTGAAGTCGAAGCACTGCCCCTGATGGTGGACTGCAGGCCGACCGCGGGCGCAGCGCCCAACGACATCGCGCACTCCGCGCCCAACGGAGCCCCGCCGCCCGAGAACCACCACAACCAGCAGGTAATCTTACTAATATAATATACTTCGGGACACATCTATCGGCTCACTAAGTGTTATAAGTTACAACGGTCTGTAGAGAAAAAAATATGTTTATGGTTGAGGAATAATCTTAAAAACACACGAAAAGATTGTTAACAAATCAGCTTCAAAACTGCGTAGGTAATGACTATTTAGTCAATCTAACGTTTACTTTTAGCTAGGGGCCGTTAAAACTTATAATGCTAGGTGGGCCGATAGATGTGTCCGGAAGTGTTTATTGTTTAAAACTTTCATGTTCACTAACATTATTTATAGCTCAAGAAAAGTTTACTAGAAAAAAAAAATCCACGCGGACCAGGCAGCGGATGGTCCGCGTGGATTTTTTTCTAGTAAACTTTTCTTTAGATTTAAACATCTAGCAGTTAAATGCTTAAAAAATAAATAAAATCATTATTTATAGCTATTAATTGCTTGGAGTCTGCAAGCAGTATTTATGCGGGCTATTTAAAACTTTACGACTCTAGAGATAGGTCATTTCGCCAAAATATCTATGGTTATACTTCTTCATACAAATGTAGGCTCTAACTATCACAAAAAACGGCTTAAAGCCCCGTGGGTAGCGCGCCCCGATCGGGGCATGCGGTGTTTGACCGTGCGATGTATTTTTCGAGCGCGCCCCGATCGGGTCGTGTGGTCTTATTAACCGGATTACCATGTACCTTGTCTTTTATGAGTCTTCGATATTACATAAAAAAGTAAAAAGTAGAATTTTCTTTATTAAAATTGTGTGCTCAATATAACTCTTTTTGAATCGTTCAAATATTTTTTCTCGTTAAGCATAATGAACAGCAACGAAGTTTACAAAGATATTATGTCGTAGCATAATTGACAATAAATTATTTAATAATCATAAAGGAATGCCCATATAGTTTTTTGTTTGTAGGCCAAAAGCCAACATATCCCACACTGATCTAAGGGATAATTTACACGGGTTTTTTCTCTATGCCCGCTTACATCCCGGCGTTTGCTTATTCATAACGTTCTCCATTTGTATTTTCTATGCCCAAAGTCCAGTTACAAAAATTACCAGCGTAAGAGAATACTTTAGGAAAAGCTATCGTCCGGTTCTTACGAGGAATACAAAACATGCTACGGCCCAGTTATGTTATGACATTTTTAATTATTTTATCATTAGGCTAGCATTAATTATTTCCGGGCAAGAATTTCAATTAACAATGTTTCGTCACTGAGTCATTTATGAGGCTATTCATTATTGATACAGTTTAATTTATACTTTATTTTAAAAACTAATATGATTTCACCGTTAAATATCTAATCTAATACAATAAAAATTATCACTTGTTTTGTCACAGGGATTTTTCTCACGAAACGCGATACAACATATGATACCGTAAATAGAGACATGATATTGTTGACATCGTTTTTACCACTTTGTTGATTTTTGAAGTTATACTTCTTTAGGCGCGTTATGAAAAAATGATGAGGGTGAAATTTTAAGATGCGCGCGCATCACTGTAACACAAAATTTTAACAGCATGAAGTTGGTCGCTTTAGCCAACCAACTTCATGCGTTACTTTTGTGTTTACCGCACATTAAGAAAATCTACCAACAAAATAGAAATAGAATCTCTATTTAGTGGGTGCTAACGACTGCATTGTTAAGGCCTATCAAAAGTATTTATTAATCTGGAACAACGGAACCAAAGCGCGATTCAGGAGACTACAGCGCCATCTCTTGACCATTGGTGTAGTAGAACCAAAAACCACATCTTTATTTTTTGTAATAAAGTAACAGTTATAGGTATTCATATTTATAATATTATCCACATGTTTCTAGTTTGTATATTCGGAATACGTGTTTGAGTTTCATACAAGTGCAAATCACATATGTTCTAATAAATTATATTCAGTAGCGATTTTAATTGAATATTTTGATTATTTATTTATTTTTTCAAATTAAAACTGAACTTTATTGACTGTGTCCTTTTCCAGGCTTTTTATTAATTTATTGTAATTAATTATTTGCATGCAATTAAAAACTAATTTTAAACGATGCCAAAGAAGGATAACTTCTCACGCGCCTACATAAGTACACGCACCCATTTTTGTTATATGAAGAAATATTGTCTACTAGTGGCCCGCCCTCGCTTTGCTTCGGTATTTTATCCCTTGGGGGTAGAATTGATCAAAATCCTTTCTTAGCGGATGCCTACGTCATAACATCTACCTGCATGCCAAATTTCAGCCCGATCCGTCCAGTGGTTTGGGCTGTGGGTTGATAGATCACTATGTATATAAATTAGTGGGGTAGAAATACTATGGTGTATATAGTATGGAGAAAAATTAAAAGAGCATAACTACCATTCAGTTTCAGTTTGACCTGAAGAAGCAGCTTCTAAGCTTAAGGTTTTGCATGCATTTTTTTTTATAATAGCCATGTTGGCAAATGACTCCACCCCACCTGATGTTAAGTGATGATAAAGTCCAAACGCGAAGATAGCTGGTACAGCAGTTATAAACTGCCATCCTCACCTTGGCAGCCCGCAAAACTGCTTCTTCACGCCTCTCTTAAAGGACCCCAGATTGTCGGAAGGAGGGTACACGTGCGCGGGCAAAGAATTCCACTTACGAATAGTGCGACAAAGAAATGATATATACCTCTGACGTTTTGGATGTTTCACAGGCGAGATTTGCGAACACGAAGTACGTAAAGGGTCCGAAACGCGAGGAATAATCAAAAAAGAAAACAAATCGCGCCTTAGAATAATATATTTTTTATGTCTATTATGAGTACTAGTTACACGCCCTTGCTTCGCTACTTTGAAGATTAGTTTTGTTCCCTGGAATGTATTATACGTACATACATACTTTCCCTTTTGAATCACTATCTATTGCTAAAAACTGCATTGAAATTCGTTGCGTAGTTTAAAGTCTAAGGTCCGTATTACAGAATGACAACTAAGTGATGATCTTTACTTGAGTACAGTTAGAAAGGGATGTCGCTATGTGCTATATATAGCGACATCCTTTGCTCAAGACTAGATCAATCACTGAGAATCTCTTATCTATTAGACAAGTCCGTCCGTCCGTCTGTCTGTGGTGCTGTTTCAGCGGCCAAACCGTAAGAGATAGATAAAGAGAATATTTAAGTTATAAGTTAAGAATAGTCTGATAAGACTACAAACCGGATTTGAGTAACGAAGCACTTCCGGTTTTCGAGAAACCACACAAAATCTCCGAAGTTCTGAATTAATTAAATCCTTTTTTTTTCTAAATCAGGTTTTGGTGAACATTTGGTTCACTGGTTTGCTAGTCTTTCTATAATACGGGCCTTAGTCCACTTACACGATGCAAAAACCACCACGCGGGCCCAATGCGGATTGGCGGGTGCTAACGACTGCAGGTGCAGCCGGGACCAAAGGCTTAACATGCCTTCCGGAGCACGGAGGAACTCTAGATAGAAGATTTTTGGTCACCTATCCAATGTCCGCCCACTGCGAAAGGAGACCCGGCACTTTTCATAGAAAAAATGCTAAACTTGTATACAGTTGAATTTGGTCTCAAAATAAAGCCAAAATTATTTGCTACATAAAACTACTTTTGCCTTATTTTTAGTGAATCGTGGAAAGAAGTTATTTAATGATTAATATTTTTTGATATAGAAACCCTTTTGATGACAAACCTACTTATTTGACATTGACAGCTAGCTGCTGATGACAAATATTGCCAGACTACGTTACCCAATTATGAAACACAGATAAAAAAATTAAAAAAGTATACAACTTTGGCACAAAATGCCGGGTGTCCTTTGCTTAACTTCAACGACCGCAGCCGAACGCGCTAACCACCTGCGCTATCGAGCTCCTCTTATCCTCTGCTCTCTTCTCATTTGGTATATAATATTGTTTAGCAGCCGAGCGGTAACAGCGAGATGGGTGGTCACGGGCTGACGTCGCCCGCGTCGGTGCGAGCCTCCACGCCTGCCACCTCCAATGCCGTGGCCCCCTACACGGGCAACGTATACAGTGAGTTATTTATCATTATACCTACTCTTTATTGCATCGATAACACAAACCCTACACCAGTGTTTCCTTACCTTTGGGGCCGTTCAATAAATAAATAAATATTTCCGACACTCACACCAATTAGCCTAGCCCCAATGTAAACACTATAAGGCTTGTGCTATGGGATGCTAGGGTAATGGATAGAATACATATACCCCACCGGGATTCGAACCCGGGACCTCTCGAGTCGGCGACAGCCATGAAACCCGGCGTACAAACCACTCGGCCACGGAGGTCGTTCAAGTATTACGTAAGCACTATAGGGAAGCAGGGGGGTCTTTGCGTTGCTTATTTTTGATGACATGGGGGGGGTGGGGAGTCGAGATAGTGATTACGTCAGCATCATGGATTCGGGTGCCATGGACTGAAAACTGTATACATATACCAAAAATTCGAAAGAATTTGGTTTTGTTCGTAATAGTACCTTACTCTATGTTGAATACTGCGTCAATAAATCAATAAAAAATGTTTACGTAAGCCTTGCCGAGGTCTGTTTTCCCGGACCAATATAATCTGGACATCTTCAAGGCCAGAGTGAACAGGCATCTTCTAGGCAGGCGTGTACCATCCTAGGCCTCATCATCACTTTCCATCAGGTGAGATTGTGGTCAAACGCATTGCCTATTATGCATAAAAAAAAAAAAAGCACGTGAGGGGGGTAAGAGCTTTTTGGTTACTTTTGCTGACAAGAGGGAGGAGGGGGTAAATAATTGTAATAAATCTGCTTACGTAATACTTAAACGGCCCCTTTCCAATACTGCTACCCCTGTAACCTATAAGGGAACCAGATTTTACCCCGACATTAAAATGTTAACATCAGTCCAAGAAATTCCAATTTGGCCACTACATCTTCGTATCTAATAATGTCATCATCAGAGAGAATCAGGCCCCGCTTCCCACAACCATTCCAAAAATCATATATATCAAAAATGCACAACGTTAATATTCAAGTTTTCACTTCTGCTCGGCACCCCGCGGGCTCACTAGCAAGAAGGAGCGCATGCTCTATTTAGTAGTATTATTTAGATTTGACCAAATAATTAGGTTCTTTCTTACCCCCGAAGTATGGCTGATTTACCCCCGGAGGGGTAATTACCCCCAGGTTCGGAACCCAGGGCCTAGGCCAACTCCAATTCAAGGAAAACCGAAATTTCGATCGGAACTTCGCACTTTTCTTACTAAGTTGCTGGTTCTTTTTTAATTATTAATATTCGTCGTCGGAATATATGTTGAGGTGTAGATTTTCTCAGTCTACTCAAAGAAAGCTTCAATTTGATAATTTATCAAATATCGTTCAAATTAAGTATAACCTTAAATTGACGAAATTACATTATGTCTGAACTTCGTTATCGAAAGTTCGTATCGGAGAAAGAGAGAAGACTCCCAGAACTTTTTATTTGATAACTAAATGTTTCATTTGGTTCTTAGACATAATATGTTATGACTGAGGCCCGTATTAACAGATCGCTCTCAACTCTGAGACGAAAGATTTTGAGAGTCAGTTTTCATACAAAACAGCATCTTAAGATCCACATCACTCAAAGTTGAGGGCGATCTATTATTACGGGCCTTAGTCACCTTGTACGGATATAGCAAATAATAGATATGTACTTCTAAAGTCAAAACAGAAAGCGACATACATATATTTCAGCCGACCTAGGTGGTGTCGAAAATTCCAAGAAAGTGCAATAAGTGTTCAAACGTAGAAATACACACATACATATGTATGTACATACAAAATTTATCATTATCAGACCAAAAAACAAGGATGTTTCCTTTCAAATGTAAAATATATCCTGTATGTTAAATATATCCTGTTGGCCTATTCGCTAACTTTTTTGACATTTAAGGTGTGTAACTAATGAGAAAATTACATATTCATCGAAGCTTTTTATTACTAGTATCTCAGTGGCTTTACAATAAAGCAGTAGTGGATCAGTACAGTAAATAATAACGATAATCACTTCCTTTATGTCAATAACCGTTAGCGAATAGCCCTATTGATTGTCCTGATTCTAATAAATTTATCCTTATGTGTATGATGCTCAATAGCTAGTCTGGTGTGCCAGCATCAAATCGAGACCGAGCCATGGTCCCTAATGGTTTGATTTCAGACAGCCATTACCTTTATATAATGCTTTTTTCGTAGTTAATATGTTCAAAGATGGTTAATAATTTTTTTTTTAAAGCGTTGCATCCGACGGGCATGAACGTTGCGTACGGCAACATGGGTGCGGGTGGGATGGGCGGCCCCGCTGGCATGGCTCCGGGCAGAGGGGTGGGGGTGGGGGTGGGGATGGGTGCGGGGGGTATGGGGGCTCCGTACGTTTGTCGCGTGAAGTCGTTAGTGTGGTGCGCTAGCATCAAGCTTAGACAGAAGTTGCGATTGATCTGATTTTAGATCCCCAGTACTGTTATTTTCTTGTTGTCTTAAAAATTATGATGAGAATGGGGTTAGACTTTGCATTAAGAGGGTCTATTCTATAAGTATATGCCATCGTCATTATTCGCGCCCGTATAAACCCCACATATATATGTATATAAAAGAAAAGGAATATTACAAAATCATAGCAAAGAATTGCACTTATTCAATGGGTGGCGCCATCTATTAGATCGTACCACTGTAGCGCGCTTAGCACAAACGTCATTGGATGTCGCCCGCAGATGTTATTGTGTTCGGCTGCTTTGCCGGCTATAATGTCATGACTTGCAAATTTCATTCTCTCATGAAAACTGTAAATTATATCTATCGATTACATAAAGGGAAATTACGAAAAACACCGAGTTTTTATTTGAAGAAGACTAATCTGTGCCCAAACAATCGTTTATTCATCATTTGGCGTGCGCTGCGATTCAGCATGGCCACACGGAGCAGAGGTCTGTTTCGTGTTCTCGTTTAAAATTTCCTTTTTCTTCTGTTTCTATAGCGTCGCATCCGGCGGGTATGAACGTGGCGTACGGGAATATGGGCGCGGGCGGGATGGGCGGCCCCGCCGGCATGGCTACGGGCCCGGGGGTGGGGATGGCCTAGGGATAGGGGGATGAAAGCCCATACGTGTGCGGCGTGAAGTCGTTAGTGCGGTGCGCGTCAAGCTTAGACAGAAATCGTGATTGACCTGATTTTAGATCCGTTACTTTTTTTAACTGTTTTTTTTGTTATCATAAAAATTATGATAACAATGGGGTTAGACATTGCATTAATACTATATCTATTCTATAAGTATATGCCATCATCATTTGGCGTGCGCTGTGGTTTTCAGCATTGCCAACACGGAGCAGACGTCCGTTTCGTGTTCTCGTTTAAAAGTTCCTTTTTCTTCTCTGTCTAAAGCGTCGCACCCAGCGGGTATGAACGTTGCGGTAACAAGGGAATGGGCGGCCCTGCTGGCATGGCGACGGGCCCAAGAGTGGGGGGGGGGGGGGGGTATTTCTCAGTCTATTTTCTATGTGTATGCCATCATCATTGTCATTAAGTGGGAATAAGGAGCGCTCGCCTTAATAGATCCTTTTTTTCTGTTTCTATAGCGTCGCACCCGGCGGGTATGAACGTGGCGTACGGGAATATGGGCGCGGGCGGGATGGGCGGCCCCGCCGGCATGGCTACGGGCCCGGGGGTGGGGGTGGGGATGGGTGGGGGGGGTATGGGTGCTCCGTACGTGTGCGGGGTCAAGTCGTTAGTGTGGTGCGCGTCGCCGCCGCCGCCGCACGCGCCCGCGCCGCCTCCGCACGGCGTCAACACGCACGCCTATAAGAGCGTGCAGGCCAACGGCGCCGATCTCCCGATGAATGGTGAGTGGATGATCCCTTATAAACGAGTCGTATTGTATCAAAGGAACTCGATGGCGCAAGTGGTTAGCGCGTTCGGCTGCGATCGGCAGTGGTCGGTCATTGGATGGGTGACCAAAAATTTACTATCTCGAGCTCCTCCGTGCTTCGGAAGGCACGTTAAGCCGTCGGTCCCGGCTGCATCTGCAGTCGTCAGCACCCACCAATCCGCACTGGGCCCGTGTGGTGGGTCATGGTCCAATCTCCCTATTCCATCCATAGGGAAGGCCTGTGCCCCAGCATTGGGGACATTAATAGGCTGATGATGATGATAGTATCAAAGGCGGCAAAGTAGGGCGAACCAAATATTTGGCAAATCAAAAAAAAACTGTTTAGTCTCGTCTTTAAGGGAGGATAAAATATTGACATTTCACTACGATTTGTAGTTATGATGAATGTCAATTATAAAAATCCTCCCTTAAAGACGAGACTAAACAGTTTTTTTTGATTTGACAAATATTTGGTTCTCCCTACTTTGCCGCCTTTGATACTATACGACTCAAATGTCAGAATCAGAATTCTATTTGTGAAACATAGGTTAGTATACATGGTATATAAATTTTTTGTTAGTATCACTACATTTTCGCTTTAATTAAGGTATACAAATAGATGTGGACCTATGAAAGAAGTATTATTATTTTTACATTGGAATCACAATTTATGAATATAATTTGAAATTGTCTATTGTTACATGCATGTCAAAGTAGAATATAAATTTGATAAGCCATAAAGTTGTCATAGTAATAGTCAAAATTTTAATGGAAAAATGTATGTAGCTACACCGTAAATTTTGAGATGCCTGAAAAACTTTACTAGATAAATCTGACACCGAATTAGGTTCAAATTTTTTGCGAAATATTCGTTTTCGATGACGTGACGATAGAACAAAACAATAAAATAAATAAATATTTCCAACACTCACACCAATTAGCCTAGCCCCAAAGTGAGCACTGTAAGGCTTGTATTATGAGATACTAGGGTAACGGATAGAATACTCATACTGTATATATATAAGTATATTTATATAAATACATATTAAACATCCATGACTGGAGTACAAATGCTCGTATTCATCACACAAACAACTGCTCCCACCGGGATTCGAACCCGGAACCTCTCGAGTCTGCGACACCCTAAAACCCGTACAAACCACTCGGCCACGGAGGTCGTCAGACAATCATTTCTTTTTAATGATTTCTTGGAAAAAATATTAATTCTTTGTTCTCCTCGATTAGGTAAATCGCTGCTAATATTCATATTAATTAAAAATGCCAACGATTGATACTTTATTTTATCATACTGTCAAATAGCCTATTAGGTATAGGTACTATTTTTTCGCAAATGTATTGGAAAACGTTGTATGACAATCGTTCATCCGGTATTTATAAATTCGTGACTATGTTAAGACCTCGACATCGTCTCAGGCTTACATTCGTCGCCTCGTTTGTAATAACCAATTTACCGCACTAATATCATAATAGTTATTTGTAATATAAGTGCAGTAAGTTGGTTTGCAAGAAAACAGTACCTACATCTAACAATCCCCTATATTATCACCCATCCATCCTCACTATCACCCCCCAATACTCTTATCACCCTCGAATCCCATTTCACCCTCCAATCCCCTTTTCACCTATCAATCTCCTGTGCTTATTTAATTTAACAACTTCCTAATATAGATACTTCTCTCTCACTCTAACCCACAGCTCCCCTTAAATTAGTGAGATTCGACCGAAATTTAGAGAACAAACCGTAAAGAATACGCATGGCGCCACGTATGGGAACATGCGGTAAAATGTTTTACCGCACGCTCCGTTGGATGGCTCGTGATTTTAAACTTTCAAACATTATATATAACCTCCGTAAATGCATTTTTGAGCAAGCGTGTTGGAAACATAGAGGTATAAGAATAGAGTTGGAGAGATATAGAGATAGATACTCTACTACAAGTGGAAGTGTCCCTCTAATGGAAAGAGAAAGAAGATGAGAGACCGCTAGCTTTCTCTCTCTAATCGCGCATGCGCATTGGCAACCGGAAGCATCCTATTATTTCGATGTGATGCTTGGACCAATTATTAGACAGACGACTGCGCATGCGTCACAAGAGAGAGAGATAGCTAGCGGTCTCTCATCTTCTTTCTCTGTCTACTAGACGGACACTTTTAGAGCCGCCTTCTCCACTCTATTTTTATACCCCTACGGTTGAAAACAACTATTGATTAAGACTAGACTTGCAACGAATAGTATATTCGGCAGTATACCGAATATTCGGCAAAAGTATACAGTTGGATTTTAGCGCCAAAAACTTGTACAGACGTGATTGTTTCGCGCTCCTTTGTTTTGTTCTAATCTGCCGTCCTCCAATGATGACAAAACCAACTTTTAAGATATGCCAAAAACGGCGCGTAAACTTTAAATTATTGCTGTTATGTAACCATTCATCACATGACTGAATGAATTAAAACTGTTAACTTGTTAAATACAGAAAATCATTAAATTATGTACCTGTTTTATGTACCAAAGACTACAAAAAAAATGAGAACCTTACCCTTCTAAATTTTGATTAGGTACCACAATAATTCAAATACAGAATCCTCCATTTTTCCAATTCAGAAGATGAATATGTACCAATGACTACTTAAATGATTATATAACAGAAATGAAAATATGAATATATACGTAATCAATTAATTTAATTTTTCAATTTACTAATTATTCTCTATGACAAAATATATTATTTAAGTATTTGGTATTTGGCCGAATAATATGTAGATATTCGGTATTCGGACGAATATAATGAAAGCAGCCGAATATGCCGAATACCGAATAGTAACCGAATATTTGTTGCAAGTCTAATTAATAATAATAATAATAAATATATCTTTATTCAAATAAAGTCATATATTGCATAATAATACTAATAACAATATAAAGTACAAAATAATGGATGCCTGAACTAGGTTACAGTTAAAATTGTACCTGTATTTCAGGCTTTTATGATCTAAATAATACATTGAATGATTAATAAATTAACAAATTAATTAAAACAGAACTTAAAGTAATCATTGTATAAATGTTGGTAAATGTAAATTATGGAGTTACATTCATTTATTTACAAATAAGAAGTAATTCTTCGGTCTGCTCGTATGTCAGGCTGTGCAAATAATTAAATACTACAGTTCTACAGTTAAAATAGTTTAATGTATAAATACCTAGCACTCTATTTAACTTATTATATAAGAAAGGACTTAGGAAAGTAGAGAATCTATGTAAAAAGATGTATTTTGAATCATGTGTAGAGATGCAGACTATATCTTTCCGTCTTTTGTTAGTGATATCACAGCAAAAAGGTGAAATGGTGTGTTGTTTTAATATGGTGTGCATAATGAAAAGCTGGCGAACAGTTAACACATTACAGTATTTGTAAAGTTGATGCGTAGGATATAAGAAGGGAAGTGAATTGGCTACTTTTAAAATGCTAAAAAATAAAAACTAAAAATTAAGACATGAATGTGTTGTTCAGACATACCGACGCTCCGGTACTACTACAACTTGGGCGTGGATTGCATGTGGGCCGCGTTTGGGCCGCCCCCGCCCCCGGCCCCGGCCCCGCCCCGACACTACTCGCCCCGGGACCTGGCGCAGGTAACTACCGACCTTTTTTTTTCCTAAATGGCTTCGCACGGCTTGTGCATTCAGCCAATGTCAAGTGTTAAAAATGTTTACAAATAGGGATGATGACTATTTTTTTTTCCTTCGTTTATCAGGTAGATTATCAAAAAGTATTGGACGCGTATTTTTTCTTTTTTCACATAATATAAACATTGCAGAGATATATTGATTTGAAAAGTCTCATGACGTCACGTTTGAGTACACTTATAAGTGAAAATTCACTCAAAAGTGACGTCAGGAGCCCCTATTCCCAAACTTTGACGCGCTATAACTTTGTCATTATTTGGTTGATTGCCCAAAGAAAAAATACGTGTCCATTATTTTTTGATCATCTAACTGACGGACTAAATAGAATTTCGTTTACTGTACCCCGTCATCACCCCTATTCTATAGCACTCATGGTCAAAGTTCGAGTCGAAAAGATCAAGTCAAAGTAAGTGGCAGTCGAGTCAATCCCCCTTTCCCTATGTTTCAGTAAATGTGTGGGGATTTACTGAAACCTCCCCGTGGACTTCTTGAGGGAACGTCGAAACAATGTTAACCAACTATATAAGAGAAGGAGCTCGATGGCGCAAGTGCTTAGCGCGTTCGGCTGCGATCGTCGAAGTTAAGCAACTTTCGCAGTGGTCGGTCATGGGATGGGTGACCAAAACAATTTGTTATCCTAAGCTCCTCCGTGCTTTGGAAGGCACGTTAAGCCGTTGTTCCCGGGTGTAGCTGCAGTCGTTAGCACCCACCAATCTGCACTGGGCCCGCGTGGTGGGTCATGGCCCAATCTCCCTTTTCCACCCATAGGGAAGGCCAGTGCCCTAGCAGTGGGGACATTAATAGGCTGATGATGATGATGATGAACCTATATAAAACAAACTAAAATGTGTCCCACAGGATATGCAGCAGATGGGATTGCACGATCGCAACGCCCCCAACAATGGCGGCGATCACAACCACAAGCACAACAAGCCTCAGGACAAACCGCCCCTCGCCAACAACAAGCCCAACGCCCAACGCCCACTGCTGGGCCCAAGGTAAGATATTCAATAATAATAATAAAAATATATTTTCAACACACACTGTTGGAGTAGATTTATCTATTTATTTAAATATCTTAAAGATTATATTTAAAGTATGTTTGCATGAGATATCTATATATATAAAACTCAAAGGTGACTGACTGACATAGTGATCTATCAAAGCACAGCCCAAACCACTGGCCGGATCGGGCTGAAATTTGGCACGCAGGTAGATGTTATGACGTAGGCATCCGCTAAGAAAGGATTTTGATCAATTCTACCCCCAAGGGGATAAAATAGGGAATGAATGTTTGTATGAAACTTTGTCAATTTTACACCGATCGGGCTGAGACTTTGCATGCAGGTATAAGAGGAATCATAGATGAATGTCATTGTGTATAATACAAGCCTGAGAACAAAAACTGTAGTCTACACTTCAGCTCTACACTGAAGCGAAGCGAGGGCGGGCCACTAGTTTTGTATAACCATACTCCATGGTATAGTTTATGTTCAATTTACAAATCGTTAAAAACTCTTCCATGTCATCGTTACTCTTGTTGCGTTGTTAATAGTTGTCGGTTCGCTGAAAAATATATAGTTTCGGTTAAAGACACACCAATAGGGTATATGACAAGTTTTAGAAACTGATCTAACGGTATTAACTAATGTTTATGGAGTCCGTAAAAAGTGGATATTCATCATTCTGTTGTGTATTTTAGTAAATATAACCAAATCTAAACCTCCATTTTCAAGTTGCCGCGAAAACGTTTCTCTGAACAACTGGCGTCTTACTAGTGTGTGACGCCACACGACTGTTATTAAAACGTCGAACGATACAATGTAATGTCACTTTAACCGGAAGTTTACTTGCGTGTGACGTCATTTTAGGCTCCGCCAATCCCAAGCGTTTTTTGGATCACGTGAAAATAGATAAGAAAACTATTATCTTTATCGTGGGTTTTTAATAAAATTATGAATATTATTTTTGGAAAAATAGTAAAATCCCCTGCCAATATTCATTTTAAACACAGATGCTTATAATTGTCACTTTATTTTTAATACTGTCAAATACCCTATTAGCGTAGCCCCAAAGCAAGCACCGTAGGCTTGTTTTAAGGTTATGGGATACTAGGGTAACAGATAGAATACATATATTAATACATAAATATAAGTATACTAGCAAACCAGTGAACCAAATGTTCACCAAAACCTGATTTAAAAAAAAAATGTATTTAATTAATTGAGAACTTCGGAGATTTTGTGTGGTTTCGTTTGAAATTCGTGATTTCTCGAAAACCGGAAGTGCTACGTTACTCAAATCCGGTTTGTAGTTTTATCAGACTATTCTTAACTTATAACTTAAACATTCTCTTTATCTATCTCTTACGGTTTGGCCGCTGAAACAGCACCACAGACAGACGGACGGACGGACGGACTTGTCTAATAGATAAGAGATTTTATCTAGAAATGTATATAAACATCCATGACTAAGGTACAAAGGCTCGTTATTCGTCATACTAACATTTGCCTTCACCTGGATTCGAACCCGGGACATCTCGAGTAGGCGACGCCTTGAAACTAGATGTCTATACCACTCGGTCATGGAGGTATCGAAATCATCTTCTGAATTTTTAAACTGTTATTAAAAATTTAGACCTTATTAACAAGCATCGCTGCTGGTTCAGTGGTAGAAAGTTGAGACTGCTACGCAGCCAGCCCGGGTTCGAAGCCCATCTGAGGTGGGACTTTTTTATTAATAATTTCAAAAGTTTCACACCAATAACACCACAGCCAATTTCTATTTCCAAATTCTCCAAAGTTCCAAAAACACCAGGGGCAGTATTACGTAAGCAGATTTATTACAATTATTTACTCCCCCTTGTCAGCAAAAGTAAGCAAAGCTCTTACCACCCCCCCCCCCCCCCCCCATGCTTACGTAAACATTGGTACCTATATGCATTTTTCCTTTAATGTATTCTGTTTTTTTTATTGATTCATGAGCTTTTCATGAGCTTCATAAGCAGCAGTACTTAAATAGGCTTAGCATTGAGCACTTTAACGCACATAATATTAATTTGAATAAAATACCCCCCCCCCCCCCCCCCATGTCATCAAAAATAAGCAAAGCGAAGACCCCCCTATAGTGCTTACGTAATACTTGAACGGCTCCCCACATAATTTTTTATTTAGCCCGCGTTTAAGTTTACCCAATAACGGTTTGCAATAACGCCGTAATGTGTTGTTTTTGCATAGATTCAAGCGCGGCGGGAACAACCACGACGGCAACCAGAACAACAACCACAACCAGAACAAGCACGCCAACAATATGTCCAACAAGGGACCCAACAATCGGTGAGTCGACCATGCTATCATAACCAATAGGGACGTAAGTACAAGTAAAAAAAGGTAACGGTCCTAACGATGGCTTAGCAACGGCTAAAAGTGCTTTCCGAAGCACGGACTTTTGCTATAGTCGAGATAATAATTTTTGGTCACCCATCTAATGACCGACCACTTAACGTTGCTTAACTTCGACGATCGCAGGCTGAACGCGCTAGCCACTAGCCTTTGCGAGTTCTTCGCTGTATTTGAGTTTATTAAATTTTTTAATGTGTATTTAACATGAATATTGAGGGTGATTTCACTTACTCTGACAAAAAGTAGTTGATTGATAATATTAAGTATTAAAAATCATTAAATAGAAAAGTGAATGATCTATCTATTGTCACGTGACCGAAAACGCCTAATTAGATTAGAGTTTAAATTTAAAGAAAATTTTACTAGAAAAAATTCTACGCGGACTAGGCTAACAGACGGGACTCGAACCTGCACCCTCCGCTACCCGGGCACTCACCGTCATGCTACCACGCCCTAACGTCCGTGTCGAACTATTTCCAGTATTTCTTATGCTGCAAGGCAGTGCCATCTCTTCGCATTGTAGGTAACTCACAATGGCCTACGAATGACATTAACAATGGAACAAGAAATAGCAATTGTAGTTATATATTTATATGCTAGATGTTTTTAAATCTAAAAAATATTTTACTAGAAAAAGTCATGTCTGCTGACCTGTCCGTGTTGAAAATTTCTTTAGATTTGAATATCTAGCAGTTGTGAATGCTTAAAAACATAAAAATATAATTATGTTAGTTGTCAATTTTATCCCAGTTTCGCTCAATCTATTTTTTATGTGTGTACGATGATTGCATTCGTTCCCCTTTGTCCACCAGGCAGTGGTACAACAGCCGGTCGGCCCCCTCCGGGCCCGGTCCGGCCCCCGCCCCGGCCCCGGCCCCGGGCCCGCCGCCCCCGGGCCCCGGCGCGCTGGCCCCGGGCCCGTACGACGAGTGCGAGGGCCAGCTGCTCACGCTGCCCTACATCCCCTACCCGCCGCCGATCTACCCCATCCCCTACTACCCGGTGGACGCCGACCCAGGTACGGTGCCCTAACATCTACATCTACATTTAGCTCCGTATTACAGAATGACAACTGAGTGTTGATCTTTACTTGAGTACAGTTAGAAAGGGATATCGCTTTGTGCTATACACCGTGTTCCTGAGGATATACATTTGAATAATACTTCTATAGCTCTTGTTAAACATATCGTACAAAGAAAGTAGTAGTTTAAATAGCATAGTGATTAAGTTATTGGTGATTTAAGTTTAACCCGACTTCATTGTGTTGTGGAGTGAGAAAGAGTCTTTATCTGTGAGATTATTATTATCATTGTGAGATTTGTGCAACCAAAACTATCAACTCTTTATCAATGGTCATTAAGTTATAGTTTCAAAAGTTAAAATTAAAAATAAAACATTGTTGACGTCACGAAAAGTTTCAAAAAGTTTATGTGGAAATGTGAACCAAAATTTCAAATGCGACGTTGCCAGCTCAGGTAAAGAGTAATTCATATTAGATAAATTACATCTAAGCATTTAGTTTGTATGAAAATAAGAAATGTTATAGAAATTGGAATTCATAAAAGTGTCCATAGTAAAAAAAGTTCAATTTAATAGTCTGATTAACATGCCAAAGTTAGTGTATAACCTCTGGAACACGATGTATATAGTTTGACATCCCTTTCTAACTATGCTCAAGACTAGATCAATCACTGAGAATCTTTCTATAATACGGGCCTTAGAGATGGTGTTAATGGTTGAACATTTTTATTAGTCAAAAGTTTATTGTTAAATAAAAATATCGGATAATTTTAATGGTTGAAAAGATCAGTTGATTTTTTATTCAAATACAATATTTGAATATTTGTCACGAGTTGATTTAATGCCAATATATTTATGAGTTCGGTCCGTGATTGAAATTATTCATTATGATAATTTTATCAGTCTGTTACATTATCTATTTGGATAAAATATTACTCTTGTGTTAAAATCAACATAATTGACGAACTCCGTGGCCGAGTGGTTTGTACGCCGGGTTTCATGGTGTCGCCGACTCGAGAGGTCCCGGGTTCGATTCCCGGTGGGGGCAGATGTTTGTGTAATGAATTCGAGCATTTGTACTCCAGTCATGAATGTGTATTTCTATATAAATATATTTATATGTACATTATATTATATTCTATCCGTTACATTGGCATCCCATAACACAAGTCTCACAGTGCTCACTTTGGGGTTAGACTAATTGATGTGTGTCGGAAATAGTTATATTTTATATTTATTGAATATGTGTTAATTTCATTATTTGTTTAATTTTATGGTTAATAAATATATTGAACAGCACTACTTTAATCATAATAAGAAGCTCGCAAACTCAAATACCCTATCATACCGTTTCGTTCGCCAGCTACTCAAATAGCCTATTGTTGCCTAGTGGACACGAGCTTCACCGTTCCGAATGAATGATTTTTTATTTTGATGGTTGCAGCCATGATGGGCATGATGGGAGGCATGGGCTACGTGGGATACGAGGAGACGGGCGAGTACGCGGCGCTGCCCTACTACCCGCCCTACCCGCCCCCGCATCACCCGCACCACCCGCATCACCCGCATCACCCGCAACACCCGCAACACCCGCACCACCAGCAACACCAACAACACCCGCACAACGTCGAGCACAAGTGAATTGCTCTGGTGCAATGATCACGTTGCGCCGCCTCGGCTTCTACGATGTCGTTTCTCGCCTAAAAAATAATGCATATAATAGTTTGGAAAACCATCTCAATATCACTGTTTTAATTAGGATAGTATTGTCAATTCAGTTGTCGTTTAAAACCTTCAAAGAAATCGTCGTTTCTTCGTAACTCTCGTTCTGAGTTTGTTCTGTAAGAAAAACGCCCCCTTTCGTTTATTTATCTTAGCTCGAATCCGTTCGTTTAGGTCCGCTTGCAGCAATTTTATTGAATCTCAATTTAACTAAAACTAGATTCATCCCAAACGGTGGTGTCAAATTGACATGGACGATTTGACGTTTTTGTATGGACTAAACTTAGTTTGCTAAATCTTGATTCACCGTCACTTTCAGATTTAGCCCCTACAGTAATGTCAAATTGACATTGATGTTTTGACATTATTGCTATGGATTAAATTTAGTTTTAATTGAATCGAGACTTGACAAATTGCTGCAAGTGGTAAGTTAAGTTTGAGTTATATTAACATTTAACTGAAACGTTAATCAAATTCAATTAAATATTGCTAAAATGTCTTCGTTCTATTCATACCACTTCTCTTCTTAGTGACTTGTTTTCTTATTCTTCTATCTTTTTTGTAAAGAGACGACAGCTTCTACTTTAAATTAATTTAAATAACGTCTCTTAATACAGTTGGTTTCCCACATTGATAGTTCTTCTGCGAAAATTCATGAACACCAACGCCATGAATTAAGCACCATAATTTAAAATAAAAACTTAGACAGGAGGCTCAAATGTTTGCAATTAACAAATATACTTTTATTTGAAAAGAACATTATAAATGTAACACAACTTAATTGGCAATATAATAAAGAATAACTGTTAAGGTGACCGCTCAAGTTGAACTTTACATCATGACTTATGCTACGAAAAGATGCGTTTGTTAAATTTGCTCAAATAAGTAGTTTTTTTTATTATACCTTTAAATTAAAATATACAATGATCACTTAGGATTGTCTACACCATTTCTAAGATGGATTTAGAATCAGGAAGGCTAAAGTGTATGTCATGTTGTGTATTGTTCAGCATATTTCGTGTCATCTTCATTTTCCTCTTTCATAGTTTTTAATATAAATTGTAATTCTCTGTAATTTCTGTTAAAATTTTTCAAAACTGTGCTTTCACATTATACTTTATAAAAGCAGAATTATCGTAACATTATGTAACCAAGCTATTTAAAACACAAAAAAAAATAAAAAAAGGAAAGATTTTTCTCTTTATATTTAATAAATTATTTCTTAAATTGTAATGTAAAACAACAAAATATGTATTTGGATAGAATGGCTGTCATTTCGGAAATACGATGTGTTGCGTATTTTATTTATCATATCTTACAATATTGCACGAAGTATATAATACAATGTGTTCAGAATAATATAAGTTGCTAAAGTTAACAAAAAGTAACAACACATTGGGTTTATGAGAGTTAAAAATAGTTAATTAATACAATAATTAAAAATAACAAACGCTTTACTCATTTACGAAAGTAATATATCATGTTAGATAATTGTAAATTATTAAACCAATTTATTAAATAAAATTAATATAACGGGAAAAATCAAAGCTGCAGTGTTTTAATTTTCAATGTCACTTGTAATTTTATAAAATGTAAAGAAAATGTCAAAATTTTTACTCGTAGAAGCCGAGTTTGTGTAATGGTGTTATTGTTTGTAAGTAGGCGACTGTTGCTTTGAAATAACATTAAAGCGTCAATTAAAACAAAGGCTTCAACCACAGTGACCTGTGTGGCCGAGTAAATAGGATTTAAGTAAAATTCGACTGTTCATTATATTCATTGATGACTTAAATTAGTTTACGTGATGTGACAATAAATTCTTAAAACTCGAGACCATTGGTACTCTGTGGTCAGTTACTGATTTTTTTTACAATACGTCAAATTGCAGTAAGTTACGATTTAGATTGTTAAAAATAAAATATTCGTAATAAAAGCTATTGTGTTCATAAGTTACAGACCAATTTAAGAGTTGGAAAGTTAATAAACTTCAACTAACGCTGGTATATGTAAAAAGGATGTTTCCAAATTTTTATCTATATATTTAAAGCGTGGTGTCCTCTGTTACTGAGCCATGTTTAATAATAACATATAGCGTTAGAGATCAAATTAATAAAAAATTTGGTATATAAGCAACAGTCGCTTACATTTGAGGCACGTAGCCAAAAGTGTGTTAACCCCAAGTCCAATTCACCCAGATTATTGTTCCAATCGAAAAATATTTACCACAAACAAAGGGACAATAGTCTGACCGAATCCGTGATTGGCAAACAACGATATAGCTCATCGAATAACGGTATACGATTTGAAAAATGTCGCGTCGACTGAGGCCGTACCGTTTTTACGGTCTCGTCAACGCGACATTACCTATGCTGTGTGTTTTCTTTATAAACGAAAATCGTCAATTCAAAACGCAATAATTGTTATAATTTGTTTCAATTCACAGACGATTGTTTAGTAAAGATTTCAGCCAATAAAGAAATGAATCGGAAATGAAGCGTTCTGCTCTCGCAGGTTGTCAGGGTAACGTAAGAGGGAGATAGAATGTCTTGCATTCGTTTCTTTATGCTTATCTACCTAGGGACCACAATATCCCTAACGCACAGCATAGCACCGCGTTGTTTTGTTTATACAGAGTCGATCGAAGCGAGTGTATCATAAGACGATTGGTGTATGTTAACTATTGTCTATAAATGTGTAAAGCCAGAAACATATTAACGTGTCGTGGCGTGACGTGGCGCATCGGTTTCATACATTTATTATGGATTAGAGAGAGATAGAGAGGTTAAAGCGTCGTGACGACACGATACGTAAATATGTCTCTAACCATAGTAAATGTATGAAACCGATGTGCTTCTGGCGCGCCACGACACGACACGACACGACACGTTAATATGTTTCTGGCTTAAAATGGTAAAATGTGTTGTATGTACTTAAGGAGTGCGAGCGAGACGGAGAGCGTCGTCATAGAGAGAGAGAGAGAGAGAGATAGCATCGCAGTGACGACGCCGCCGGCCCCTTTCCTTCAACAAAAACAAGTAGCGTTGTCCCTCTTGCACGCGGAACGTTCGACAGAGACAGACGCACCCCACTGTGATCTATAAAATACGACTGATTCGTGCCCCCCGTTCGTATACACTTACGGCTCGATTACATTTGGTCGTTAGCCCGAATTCGGGTGCACGAAAGATATTACTCGAATTCGGACAGCAGAATCGATACTTACACTGGAAAACGGTGTCGGGTAAACAAAATGAAGACGCCCGTAGCGTTCATTCAAACTTAGTCGTTTGCCCGAATTCCATTGGCACTAGTATTCGGGCTCACGGCCACGTGTAATCGCGCCGTTAGTATTTCCAAATTGTTTATTCCTATAAGTGTTCATTGGTGCTGCGAAATTTGTCAAGGTTGACAGGGTTTACGAAATATTTTTGTATGGTTCGGCAATTATACAATACTTACGTCGAGTAGGCGATAGGCGCCGTGTATTATTCATTCCTTATAATATTGTGTAAGGCGAAACTGTAAATTTTAAGCCAATGTAATAAATGTAGGTTTTGTATACGTCGCAAATTTAAGTGTTTAGGTTCGCGCGCGTTCCGGTTGCGACACTTTAGTTGCGCGATTTTCGCTCGCTCCGTCGTGCGACTGTCGATCTAGTACATAAATAGCCATACTTTAGTTGTAAAGTTTACTTTTAACCGTTCATAGATTAAGTTTCTTTACAAATAATTATAAATTGAAAATTTCCCAAAAATACGAAACGAGTCAATTAATGAGCATGTGAATTCGAAATCTCTACGTGAATTTAGTAGTATTTAGGTGTATTTGTATCATTTTAAGTGTAAGCAGCTGTGGGTCGCAATAGGGCGCGCGTACATTCGGCTTATTTTAGTTTAGTTAGTGATAAGCGTTTTTGGCCTGTCGAAGGCTCGTCACAAGTAGGTTTCCCCTTCGGACCAACTGTACCATCATTTGTACCATCCATGGTACAACTGGCGCAACTCTTTCTCGCGTGTACCATAATGGAACTGCTGGCTCTGACATGCTTCTGTGAGCATAGAAAATAACTGAGAACATGTAACTACGGTTGTCGTTAAACAAATCCCTAAACTAACATAATATTTTTCAATATTAATTTCTTATAAAATCTCTGTTGTGTATTTTTGCTGTCTATGTGAAATGTGCCGAGCCAATAAGTTTATGTGTGGAAAACACATAACAAGCCATATAATTTAAAGAAGATGCACAATACATCCAGTGTTTCCCTGCGTTTAGTGGGATAAAATAGGCGTCAGTTGTACCTTCAATGATGGTACTATCCTGTCGAATCTGATGGTACATGTGGACTGATAGGGTACACTCATCGTCGCAGATCTCACGGTCGTCACTCCGCGTCGACACCCATCATGCATTATGTTTAAACATAAAATAAAAATAATGAATAAAAAAAAATACATATTATATAGAGTCCTACTTTGATCTCATCGAAAATCTGTCTCGAGACGTTAAGTCCTGGTGCTTGGGTAGTGTTTATAATAGTTTTGTAGAAATGCCACTCCGATTTGGTCGCTTACGGTCGTTCTCGATACCTATTAAAACATAGGTTTGTTACTGAACAAAGATTGATATTCTATATCAATAAACTGAGTAAATTGGAAAGCTTATTACTGATGGTTAGTGTTGCCGAACTATCGATATTAAAACTATCGACAGTTTATATCGAAAATCATGTACCCTATCGATAGAATCGATACTACCGATATTATCGATAGCTCAGAACAAGGCAATACTATCGAATGAGTGCAATACTATCGATACTATTGTAGTTCGTTAATAACAAACTATTGATAGTATCGATACTATCGATAGTGTTGATATTATCTGCAACAATACTATCGATAGTATCGACAGCGATTGTCCTAGACTAAAGTTTGTGATTGACTATAATACCTGAAAATTGTAAACAATACTATTGCAAATTGTTAAACTGTCGATAGTATGGTTGCAAATAAAATCGACAGTATCGATAGTTTGTTATTAACAAACTACAATACTATCGATAGTATTTAACTCATCCGATAGTATTGGCTTTTTCTGTTCTATCGATAGTATCGATACTATTGATAGTATCGATAAGCCGATCGATTGTCATACGATTGGTTGGCTATCGATAGACTCGATCGGCAACACTAGGGTAGGTTATCAGGAACGGGCGTGAGGGTCCATAGAGGGTCGCTTTAGCTAGTCTTCGCATTTAGTGCCGTTGGCGGCGCGTTCATACCGTGTAGCAACACACCAGTCACGCGGGAGGTGGTTTTCTCTCCATAGCGAAGGACACGTTGAGGCTATATTGTGAACTACCCACAGGCAAAAACAGCTGATGAAGCGAGTCGGTGCGTATTTGATGTCTCGCTCTAAAGCGTTGAGAGTTCATAATGCCGCCTCTGTTCTCGGGTGATGGTAGGTTAGTGGTTCTGTACCCCCCCTCGTGTTTCCCGATCGATGTGATTCTGTCTCATTAGCGTTACGATGTCGATGTATTATTATTATTATAATATTATGAAAGTGTTATATTCGGTAAATTCTATTTTGGCATCTAGGAAATTGGCTGTGATTCGCTTGTAATCTCAGATGAGCTTGGAAATGTTATGGGCAAGAGTGATTTTAATGTAGGTAAGAGTCGAAATCACAGTAGGTTTGAAAATTTTGTATCACGTAGTTTACCAATTTTTTGGAGTCGATTGATAAAGCACCTTGTAGTTTTATTCGTGAATCCGACTTTACTGTCGGCGTGCGATATGTGGAACTTTCAATCCGCCCATGATTTTTGATCCCTACTCTATTATATTCCTGCATATGTATGACATATATATGTATAAATATTTAAGTATATATATATATATTTTTTTTAACGTAACTACTACGTAACAAAATCTTCATTGTTTGTACAGCGTTGTCAAAAAAAAATTGAAAAAAAAACGAAAAAAAATGTAAGTGTACTCTTCTATATAGATATATGTGTGATGTTCAGTGTAAAGTCATTTTTGGTGTTTCAGTATTAGTTTTAAATCACTAGGAGTTAGAATTTATGTTAGTCGTTAATTAATATTTACGTAAACATAGTGTTAATTTTTTTAAGAATACCGTCAGTTACTTTAATCTCGTCAGAAAGTTGCGCAGGAGCGCGCGTTTTGTTCCCACACCACACTAGCGTTAAAACATGTGCCAACGTATTATATTTACACATCGGCGGTACAATGTTGAATCACCAACTGCCAAAGAACAAAATTCTTGTTGTCATATCATTTTTTTTACATAATAAATATCTACAATAATTGTGTTGTGAATATACTACATAATAGTTGTACGTGTTATCTGACTTTATGGTTGTATAGAGCTCAAGGTTAGCGTTGTGTCCGCCTTCGAGATGTTAATTGAATTTTTTTTCTAAATTCCATCAAATAAAAGTCAACTGATTTTTCAAATTTTGTGTTTTATTTGCATGTAAGTAGTTACCCAAATCCATGTCATGATTTCGTTATTGTTTATCATCAGACAAAAAATACAAAAACTTAACACAACGACAGCATCAGCTGTAACCGATCATGTTCGTGGCGAATGTTCGCGTACATTAACCTATCGGCCCCAACTTGATCAATGTGAAGTTGTTACGACTGAATCGTGCGCAAACGCAGCTATTATATAATCCAATTGCCATAATTTTCTGAACGACAACAACTTCAAGCTGTGCAGATCAGTGTAGAATGTTTTGACATTGTTATTGTTAACTTAGCATTTTAAGTTACCGGCTCTCTAGTTATCGTTTCATTAATTTAACTTATAACCTAAGTCGTCTCGGTTAAAAAACAAATACAGGAGTTTGATCGTAAAAGTTGCTTTTGAGCATTATTGTAAGGAAGAACCTTTTAGACTAAATAAATCCGCATCTGTTTTGAAATCAAACTGCATCACTTTATAGTCTCGTATTAATAAGAATTTCATAAGATTCCGTGCACAGAAGAAAGGTAAGTAATTCATAATAATTTAGTTTTTAGTAATTTGGCTAATAACACCTAGGTATTTCGAGAGCGACGATGGCAGATTCACATTTATATTAAAATCAATAAAAACTGTATTGGTATCGTATTCGTGGTTTTCGGATTTTGACTACAACATTAATTTCGTAAAACATCGAGATACAAAATGGCGGTCTTGCCTTTTTCAATAAAACCTATATGAGTGTGGAACTCATATTTCGGTATAAAAAGTATCCTATGTCTCAAATCCAGATCTAAACTGAGTGCCAAATTTCATCCAAGTGATTGAGTAACAAACATACAAATTTTCACATTTATAATATTATTAGAAAGGATAGTAGTAAGTAATATAGGATAGGATACTACTACCTCAGTAAATATGGACTAATGTAGGTAATTTAAAAAAAAAATGCAACAAATAGAAATCGCTAGACAAAAGCGGCATTTCGCATGACTTCAAAGGCGTCATGTACCCATGTTGTACCACCGCAAGTTTCTACACCGTGGTAATAACACCGAATTTACAAATAACAAGAAACACGTTTATTAACTATTTTATAAGTACTTTTATCAAGTTAACGGACCAAAGAGTTTGTAGAAAGAATATTTCTGCGACAAGTTATCTCAAACTATAGTTCGACAGGTTTTGTATGATCGACCAAATGTTGTCGTTTCGATCGATCGATGTATGTATGTAGGTACCTATCTGTTAATGATAGGTACCCTATAAGCGTTCAATCTTATCTTTTTTTTTATCCAAATTTGTATTATGATTAGTAACACTTTCAACGATAGTTATTTAGGAACCGTGACAACAAGGATCTTTTAAATCGAGTTTCGGCGATTGCTGTACCAAAGGTTTGTATCCTAATTGAGGCATTTTTTCCTATCAATAGTTCAGAGAAGACATGAAGTGGTAAAAACTCCACAGAATTTAAGAAATAGCAATTACAAATGACATTTGAGTGAAATGAACAAAACACGGCACAACACAAGCTTATTCCCTGTTTATTAATAACGGGGATAAAGTATAACCATAGAATAGAAAATATTGCTCATAATTACATTATGTATGTCTTTTAATGACTTTAATTTTGTAAATGAGATAGAGTGCAGATTCATGGCAGCTGTGCAGCACCCGTTCACGAGCATGACGTAATATAATTTTCGAATATCCAGGGCCCGATCCAAGGGGGGGCGAGTCGGGCACAGCGCTGTCTGACGTACCGATTTTGGCGGGACGTCCCGATTTTTAAATCAAATTTTAAATGTCCCGCGCGGGACAAGCTCAATTCTGCTTTTCGGGAATAACTCGACCGTGCCACGGTAATATTATCTATCTATATAATATTACCGTGACCGTGCGTGCAGCGTACTGAGAAAGCGCGGGCGGGTGGCAGAGACAAGTGTGGACTGGCCTCCTGCCCGGCGCGTAATGAAAAACTCTCAAACAAAGACCAACTATTAAACGATAGGGTATATCTGATTTAAAAAAAAATGGGTGCGTGTACTTATGTAGGCGCGTGAGAAGTTATCCTTCTTTGGCATCGTTTAAAAATAGTTTTTAATTGCATGCAAATAATTAATTACAATAAATTAATAAAAAGTCTGGAAAAGGACACAGTCATAAAGTTCAGTTTTAATTTGAAAAAATAAATAAATAATCAAAATATTCAATTAAAATCGCTACTGAATATAATTTATTAGAACATATGTGATTTGCACTTGTATGAAACTCAAACACGTATTCCGAATATACAAACTAGAAACATGTGGATAAATATTATAAATATGAATACCTATAACTGTTACTTTATTACAAAAAATAAAGATGTGGTTTTTGGTTCTACTACACCAATGGTCAAGAGATGGCGCTGTAGTCTCCTGAATCGCGCTTTGGTTCCGTTGTTCCAGATTAATAAATACTTTTGATAGGCCTTCACAATGCAGTCGTTAAATAGAGATTCTATTTCAATTTTGTTGGTAGATTTTCTTAATGTACGATAAACACAAAATTAACGCATGAAGTTGGTCGCTAAAGCGATCAACTTCATTTTGTTAAAATTTTGTGTTACAGTGATGCGCGCGCATCTTAAAATTTCACTCTCATCATTTTTTCATAACGCCCCTAAAGAAGTATAACTTCAATATCATATTTTTATTAAAAAACATTTTCTATGGATATTTTTATTAGCTACCTATCTATTGTCACGTAAACGTAATTTGAACTCAAATAAAAAGATAAATATTCAAAAACTTTTGATTATCTACGTTTTTTTACTATGTCCCGCTTTGGACAAAAGAATCCCGCTTTTTTCACTCAAAAAGTTCCTAAATCCCGACTTGGGGAAAAAAAAACGCCCGGGCATTTACCCAGAGCGGCAAAAATCAGGGGCGGCGTACTTGACTTAGGGGGGAATAAAAATAATATTTATTATATTATATAATTAACATTGCACTGGCACAATCAGTTATGAGTTATTGCATTACCATTTGGGGTGGTGCCATTAAAATTAAATTCCTAGAGGCAGAAAGAGCCCAGAGATGCTTGCTGAAGACAATGTTCTTTATGATATTTAGATTTACTACTCACGAACTATATTTAAATTATAAAATATTGACACTAAGCTGCTAACTAGCTAACTGCACAAGACCTTACCATATCTGCACATAATCCAAACAGTTCAACACGGCAGGAAAAAATTGTGAAAAGATATTGAATACCATCAATTTGACGAATATGAACATAGTGTCTCTGTATTCTAAAGATAATGATCTCACAAACATTCCACGACGATTCATTAAACGTAGTACATATTACGTACTACATATCGATTTATGAATGAATTACTTGATAGAAAATGAAGTATTGTGCGTAACAGAGTGTCCTTTCATAAGAGGTAGGTAGGTTTATCACGGTGAATACGTGAGTTGTTTTGGTTTGTCGTACAAACAGCATAAATGGGTCCCAGCGGACGCTAGATGCTCATTTCTGAGTGAACTCTACACGCGATAAGGGCCTTCATTGGTGCCTACGTAGATATATTTTATTTACATCTATTGTGGTCAATCCACGTCGACTTTTGAACGTGAGTATTAATTAATAGTACTACAATTTTTTTTCTTTAAGTTCTTCTAGTTTTCCCGGCGTTAGCATTGTCCATACATTCCAAGTTCCAATCCTGTAGTCCAGTCAGTATTGTCGCGAAATCCGTTTTTCCTCAAACAGCTGGAACTATGCTAAAAAGTTTCTTAAGATAGTAAAGAACACTTTACATAGAGAAAAAAATGTTTCCAACCCCGGGCAAGGGTGAAAACCACCCTTAATAATCTATTTTTCCAATTATCTCAAAAAGTATACGAGATACGGAAAAAAACTTCAAATGAAAATTGTAGATCTTTTTGAAATCTACAAAACATTATTCCACCCTCTTGCCCCTATTTTCAATAGGGGAGCCAATAATCGAAGTCAAAGATTCAATACTTAAAAAGTTAAAGTTAGTTAAAAAAGTTATCTTTGACTTCGATTATTGGCTCCCCTATTGAAAATAGGGGCAAGAGGGTGGAATAATGTTTTGTAGATTTCAAAAAGATCTACAATTTTCATTTGAAGTTTTTTTCCGTATCTCGTATACTTTTTGAGATAATTGGAAAAATAGATTATTAAGGGTGGTTTTCACCCTTGCCCGGGGTTGGAAACATTTTTTTCTCTATGTAAAGTGTTCTTTACTATCTTAAGAAACTTTTTAGCATAGTTCCAGCTGTTTGAGGAAAAACGGATTTCGCGACAATACTGACTGGACTATGCAAGGGTTTCGCATGCTGACGACCGAAGTAGCCTTGCTTCTACTCTTGCCGGACACAGACCGCCACGGCATATTACATCGTGGAAGCCCGTTGTCAGTAACGTTATTCATATTTTTTCTGAGATTCATAGCTGCTTATTGTGGGAACATAGTGCAGTAGGCTCCCCTGACTTTCTGCACCGCAGTACTAGAAACAGTGGGCTGCTCCTAGCTCTTCTAACTGAAGCCCTTCCAGAAAACTATTCTTCGGCCTTCTGCCAGTACTGATACAGCTGCTGCCCTGTATCAGGGGAATGCCTATTGAATGGCGGCATTTATTCGCCATGTCACAGGGCCGTCATAGGAGTTTGTAGCATTTTATAGGTATACCAGTCCCACCCGGTATTCCACTACCTCCTGCTACCCCTGCCGTTGCTGGTCGGGGACTGCTTATTCAGTATATTCGCAGCTAACCACCATATCTGGTGGCCATTCCGCCATCCGCCACCTTGCGGACCCCTCTGCGGCTCGCAACTAAGCCACAGAGAAAATAACTCTTATTATAGTTAAACTCTATCTACTATATAAAAATAAGTCGGGTTTTCCTTCCTGACGCTATAACTCCAGAACGCACGAACCGATTTCCACGGATTTGCATTCGTTGGAAAGGTCTCGGGCTCCGTGAGGTTTATATGAAAGAAAATTCAAGAAAAATTAAAAAAAAAACTTTTTCTTTTAATCACAAAACGAAATGTTACATAAAACGAAGCCATCTGGTGGCGAAACGGAGTTCGCTGGGTTTGCTAGTTGTGTATATAAATAAAGGTTCATGAATTTTGGCGCAACTAAGTCAAACTAGTTGTCGCGTTAGTGCCCCGCCTACTAGCTCAATATACGGTTGCTCTATGTCCCCACTGCTGGGTCACATATTATCCTTCCTTGAATGGAATACGAAGAAATAACCAAACCGTTTAACAGAGCTTTTATAAGGATTTTAATTTTTATTCTTTCTTTCTTCCACATTGATCGAGCAGATGTCGTCGGTAAAGGTTGTGAAGGTGACCGAGCCGCTGGTGCTGGGCGAGGGTCCTCACTGGGACGCGGCTCAGCAGGCGCTCTTCTTTGTCGACATCAAGGGCCACTCGATACACAAGTACAAACCCGCCACCGGGGAGCACAGCAGTACCAAACTCGGTGAGCTGACTGCTGACTTATTATAAGTTAACCATTAAGAATAGTTGCGTTCTACTTCATCGACATCAAGTGCACCCTTTACACAAGTACAAGCCCGCCACCGGAGAAAATCATCATCATCATCATCAGCCTGTTAATGTCCCCATTGCTGGGGAACAGGCTTTCCCTATGGATGGAATAGGGAGATTGGGCCATGACGCACCACGCGGGCCCAGTGCGGATTGGTGGGTGCTAACGACTGCAGATGCAGCCGAAACCAACGGCTTAACGTGCCTTCCGAGGCACGGAGGAGCTCGATAAGTAAATTTTTGGGCATCCATCCAATGACTGACCACTGCGAAAGTTGCTTAACTTCAACGATTGCAGCCAAACGCGCTAACCACTTGCGCCATCGAGCTCACCGGAAAAAATACAAGAACCAAACTCGGCGAGCTGACATGTTATAAATTTACCAGTAACAATCAAGGTTGCCAACCATAGATTTTTGATGTGTCTCTTTTCTCTCGCTTTCGGAAGTGTGTAACAGGAAGTCGCGAAAGCGCGCGCTATTTGATTTGATTTTTGAACATAATGTTCAAATGGCTTATTACTTTTGTGGTAGGTTTTATTTCTTTTTTTACTAATATAAGGTGAGGTTTCAAATGTTACACATCACACGCGTCTTCTGTAAGGTTCGCTTGTTTTTTTTTCTCGTACTTCTACAGCTAAGGGGTCATCCATAAATTACGTCACACGAATTTCATGATTTTTTGCCCCTCCCCCCGCCCTTGTCACAGTTGGTCACATTTATGAGACTCCCCCCCTCCCTAGTGTGAAGTCACATATTTTGCAAAACATTTAGAAATTATTGAATGAAGACAGCGGTTCTGAAATCAGTGTTATTTCCGTTTAAATTGTTTTTAAATAATATTAACATCAAATCAAACAATTAACAAAACAAAAATTAACGATTATATTAATTAAAGAAATTACCAAACAAAAAACGATTGACTAATTTAATAAAAGAAATTAACAAAACAAAAACCTTTATTAATTGCTGACCTTGACTTTATTAAAAAAGAAATTAAAAAAAATCGATTATATTTACTAAAGAAATTACCAAACAAGAAACGATTGACTATGTTAATTAAAGAAATTAACAAAACAAAAAATATTAATAGCATTATAATTAAATTAAAGATACAAACTTAATAAATTTATGTCTATGGACATATAACCCACATTTTTAAATTATTTATAACTGGCATAGCATCACTTTGTTCTCATTTGGGTTGTTAATGTTTTCGAAAAGTAATAGTTCCAACACTTAGATTATAATAGATTTTGAAGTGTGACGTCACGAAATTTAGGACCCCTCCCAGCCCCTTGTCACACGATGCCACACTTCGTCGACCCCCTCCCTCCCCCTTAACGAGTGACGTAATTTATGGATGGCCCCTAAAAATCTCGTAATCTTGTTTTCGAACCTCGTACACGGTTGGCGGGTCCCCTTAGAATTGGTAAATTTATAGGCCAATGGGTAAACTAAGTCAAGACTGTAAAAAAATGATCTTCCAGTAAAATTTTATTTAAATTCACACCTTTAGCATCTAAATGCTTAAAATACTTTTTTGGATACTTATGGTTTGTGCTTCAACATGAAAAATCACGTTATAAATTTATCTGACAAAATCTTGTACCATGTGTAGTGTTCTCGTACATCGTACAGAAGACCAGAAATCTTGTATTTGTAGGAGAATAAAGATGATGACTATTTTGTTTTTCTTCGTTTATCAGGTAGATTATCAAAAAGTATTGGACACGTATTTTTTCTTTTTTCACATAATATAAACATTACAGAGATATATTGATTTGAAAAGTCGCATGACGTCACGTTTGAGTACACATTTAAGTGAAAATTCACTAAAAAGTGACGTCACGAGCCTCTACTCCCAAACTTTGACGCGCTATAACTTTGTCATTTTTTGGTTGATTGCCCAAAGAAAAAATACGTGTCCATTATTTTTTGATCATCTAACTGACGGACTAAATAGAATTTCGTTTACTGTCATTATCCCTATTCTCGTACAGTTGGCAATCCTGCTCACAATAGTTGCGCTCTACTTCGTCTAATATCAAGTGACGTTCCATAAACAAGTACAAACTCGCCACTAGGGAACATACATGCACCAAACTCGGTGAGCTGACATGTTTTAGGAAAAAAGAAGAAAGGAGCTTTAATTAATCGGATTTTCCGTTTGAATTAAAGCGCTGTATGTTCTTCTTGTATTAGGTATGCATTTGCCTTATTATAAAAATTCCAAGGTCCATATCACAGAGCGCTGGCTGCCATCCGTCCGGGTTTCCCCGGATTTGTCCTAGTTTACGGGGCGTCCGGGGAGCGTCCGGGCGGGGTTTTATTTGTAGTCCGGGTTTAAAAATTTACGGCAACGCATGAGTGGCCCTTGGTGCTGCAAGTGTCTATGGGCAGCAGTGACCACTTATTATGAGGTAGACCGCTAGCTCTTTTGCCTAGATCAACATAAAAAAGTTGATTTGTGACATTTTTAACTGTTTTTTTTATTGGTCAGTCCGGGTTCTGGGCTTCAAAATCCGGGGTTATCACCCGTCTTATCCTGGTTGCCACATTTTAGAGATGGCAGCCCTACAGAACGCAGAAAGCGGTTAGAACTTCTAAACTCTATTCTAACTTACAAGGGCCTTGAGGACGGGGCAGGCGCGCCACAGTGATGTGTGAGCAAATGCTCATAACTTGACCAAAACTTGGTTCTGATTGCGTAGTTGCTCTCAGCTGTGAGCGCTGATTGGTTCGATTGTTTGATGTCGCGTGGTTTGATTGGCTATTATCTATTAGATTCAAGTGTAGTGGGGGCGAGCCGGCGACATCGGTTCCCGTACAAACGGTCTATGATCTCCCTTCTACCTCTTTCTGTACTGTGGTCGGGCAGGCAGTCATATTAAAAAGGCAATGTCATGATTTTTAAATATTTAAAATTAGGAATCCTCTGTCTTTTGATAGAAGATTCCACATCATATAGACTTCAGGCACCAAACCACACGTTGATAGATAAAATTCAATTATTATATTCGCCTGAAATCAAATATTTTATTTATTTTATTTTATTTTATTTTAGGTACATAGAACAGTTATACACTAAATATTACATAAAATTATAATGTAGATATCAATTAGGTAAGTGTACAACCCACACCAATGTCCACAAATTAATGATGAAAGGAGAAGTTTATTATCTTCTCACTACGGAATAATAAACTAAAAAACCGCGATGAACCGGTACAGATACAAGTATGATACTAAATTCCATCAACCCGTTCTATTTGATAATGTTTCTACTGCCATTTTTTTAAACTTTAATTTTGAGAACCCAAATATGTCTAATTCTGCAAAGTTTGTGTTATAATTATCCAGTAGTCGCCGAAGGGGCGCACGCACTCCCGCATTCGTTCTACAGGTCCCAGTATAAAACAGCCGAGGCGCGCGCACCCCTCTGCGGAATACCGATCTAGGTACAACATAACACAAATATATAAAAATATCAAATCAAAGTTGTTTCAATAAATTGCTTCGCCCCCAGGACCCCTTCAGGGTAGATCGCCGCAGTACCTAATGAGAAATCAAAAGTCACTCATTAAATTTGTTACTGCCAGGTGGCGCTGTAGGCTTCATAGTACCGGTTGAGGGCACCAGCGACCAGTTCGTCGTGGGTGTGGAGCGACAGTTCCAGATAGTACAATGGGATGGCAGCGACGGTGGCGCCGCCAGGGTGCTGCGGACCCTCGGGGAGGTGGACCCGGAGGCCCCCAGCAATAGGATCAACGATGGGAAGGCTGACCCTAGGGGGAGGCTGTTCGCTGGTATGGCATCATTCAATTTTTACGCTTACGACTACACAAAGATTATTTTTTATGTTAGCTTAAATTGAGAGTATCATAATTTTAGGGATTCGTACCTCAAAATAAAAAGTTACATAAAAGGATCACTTTTATAGGTATCGGTCCGTCTGTCAACTATGTTTGATTTCTACTTTGAATAAAAAAAAACGGGTAATTTTTTACTGATTATTCATCTGAAATAAATGTTAAAATTATTATTAGTGTCGCCGCACACGGGCCACACGCCACAGCCACAAACGCCGCCACGAGAAGCTAGAAGCGCGGCAACTAAAGTGGCTGGAGCGCGCGACAGCGGCCGACTAAGGTAAGGAAGAGAGGGGTGGGGAATCGCGCGAGTGACGTGTGGCGGCGTTTTGTATCGGCGCATTAAGTGGCCGGTGCGGGTCACAAGAAGCGAGCAACGACGATTTGTAGCGTGTGGCGGCCAACGGCGTATCGTGTGTGGCGAGTTCATATAAAATGTATGAAAACTACAAGAAATATGCCACTGGCGGCGTTTTGTGGTTGTGGTCGGTGGCCCGTGTGCGACACTTAGGCTAGGCCGCCCATGAATGTTCATTGTGTCCATGACCAGGCACAATCGGAGCAGAAGACATCCCTGGCCAGTTCGCAATGAACAAGGCCTCATTGTTCCGGTGGGACGGGCCAAACATGAAGAAGCTGGTACAAGGAGTGACGGTGTCCAACGGGCTCGCCTGGGACCTCAAGGAGAAGGCGTTTTATTACACCGACTCGTTGGAATACAACATCCGGAGATACGATTACAATGTGGAGACAGGGGAGATCTGTAAGTGTTAACGATTAAGTTGTAACAGGCTTTTCTGAACGTCTTAGGCATTGTCCTAATACAACGCGATAACGCGAATGAGCGATGCGATCATCGTACGAGTCGACGATCAAACATATTGATCTAGAATAGGTGTCCTAATAGGCGATCGCGCGATGCATTCGCGCGTCTAAAATGTTTAAAAATCTATTCGCGCGATCTTAGTTCGCGCGAACGCGGAATCCAACCTATTAATGATGAATAGGTGTCCTAACTGAAGTTCGCACGATGATCGCGTCGCGTTGATAGGAAGCGCGGAGAGGGGCAGGGCTAACCCGTTCCGTATTCGCGTTCTATTAGGACACCCAGTTCGCGATCACGCGACGGTCGCATCGTTTAAACGCGAGATGATCGCGTTATCGCGTTGTATTAGGACAATGCCTTAGAGATAGACGCTGTACTAACTGATTTGTATGTATAAGTAAACAATTAAGGCATTTTTAACTAAACAAAACTAAAGAAAATATAACTAGAAAAAATTCCACGCGGACCAGGCAGCAGACGGGACTCGAACCCTCACCCTCCGCAATCCGGGCGACTGCACTGACCAATTATGCTACAGCGGCATTCACGGACCGCGTCGAAATTCTTCTAGCCATTCTTAAGCTGCGCAAGGCAGCGCCAACTCTTCGCATTATAGGTTACCCACAATGTCAAATAATTACTTTTACAAGTATTAAACATTTGAAAGAAGAAATAGTAGAATAAATAATAAATTAAACATTTATTATGGAATATATATAAATTGAACATTTATTATTTATTCTACTATTTCTTCTTTCGGTCCGCGTGGGTTTTTTTCTAGTTATATTTTCTTTAGATTTAAACATCAAGCAGTTACATGCTTGAAAATAATAAAAATTATAAACAAAACTAGGTAAATTTTATTCAGTCCAGTTTCCAAAGCGTTTTAATATTGTTGTGCATATTAGGTATAGATAAAAGTCTATCCTCGTAAGCTAAAGACAGGTTAAACTTCGGGGGTTCTGACCAATTGTAGTGTCTTGCTGATTTTCCGAATAACATCATACCTATCCTATTCATGTTCTTTCTGCTGTGGGGCACTGGCGTTTTATATTGATAGAACAGCATAGGGAGTACCTACAGGTTAAGATTCACTACACGGGCCCAAGGTGTTAATGGTATTAATGTGCATACAACCGAGACCAACGACGGTTTTAAGTGTTATCAGAACACCTAAGATCTCGGCATTAGAAATTTTTCGTTACCCATCCATCTTTATTTTCATTGAGGTGTGTCGATGAAGTTATTTACACCTATAAGAGCAAGTACCCATGAGCCACTAATCGCGGCTACTAAACGCGACCATTAGTGGCTCAGTTAAGCCACTAGAAGCAGCCACCAAAGGAATCGAGAGCAATGGAGTGGCCGCCACTAAGCCACAAGTAAGTATATTTCTACGTCTCATGCTAAAAAAATGCATTTCAGGAAGTTGTATACATGTTTTGAAAGTTAAAAATTACGGGACATACAACGTCATACAATACATGGTATCGTGCCATAAAAACCGTAAAGGATACCTTTACGGTTTTTTTTAATTTCGGTCGAATTTCTTTGGGATCACTTTTAATGTAAACCTTTGCTTCATTTTCATGGCACCGTGTATGGGAGCCCGGTAAATTGTTATACCGCACGCTACGTAGGATAGCTCGTAAATTAAAATTTTTCGAACAATGTATACAGCCTCCGTAAGGCTTAGAACGCACTGCGATTCACCGGGAGCGGTTGAGGAATAGCTGGAAACGCATAACCGCATACAACCACGCACTGCGGCTGGCGTTTAAAGGCCTACGCAGACCGGGACGGCATGGCAAGGGATTTAAATTTTTACTAATGGACATTCAACCGTACTGTTACAGAAATACGATATAAATTGCTATGCTTTAATATGATGCCGTGGCATTGAAAGGGATTTCATCGCACGGCATTTAAAAGACGTGCCACAGGCTCCCGTGGCGGGATGCCATGGCATACTGCGGTAGGCAACGGCATGCCACGGACTCCGGCGCTCGTAGTGATATACTGCGGGGTGCGGCGGCGGGGGTAGAGAAGCGGGGAATTCACCCTTTGATTCCCTTTCTTTCCAATGATTACCAACCCAAAATCTTCTTCTATCCCTATTATCAGCCTATGCACCTACTTCTTCATCTGCAATAATCGATATCAACACCAAATCGCTGAAGCGTGCTTTGTCGTGCCGCGGCATGCCGTGGCATAGTGCTGGAATGCCGCGGTATCTATGCGGTCAGTGTGCGCTGACTCACGGCAAAATCCCTTGCCATGCCGTCCCGGTCTGCGTAAGACTTAACTTAATTTTATTTCAATATGACCATAGATTTCTGGCAAGCAGCGTGTGTTGTAGCTTTGGTTTTAAAAAATAGAAAACGTAAACAACGTCGCCGCCATAAGTACTGGGTACACCCATTAACAGATCAAAGACATTTGAAAGAATACTTTTGCTAAATGTACAACGACGTGTGACAGCATCCAGTTACATTTTTTAACTACTACAGAATGTCGATTGGTACTTTTGATAAATTATTGCAAATTGTGGGCCGGTATCTCCGACATACCGACAACCGAATGCTGTTAACCGCCGTGCGTGCGCCACCATACTATTACTATGGGGCACAAAAAAATCATGCGGTGTGTTTACAAACCGCGATCCAAATGTAGCAAATTAGGTTTTTTATAATCAGTCACTGAAAAAAGCCGCTAATGCGTGCGCTTGTATAGAAAGCTTTGTGTTACATTTTTTTGCTGTTTTAGACATGCGATAAACGCGTGTCTGAAACCGCAGTGCGTTCTAAGCCTAAATGCGTTTTTTGAGCAAGCGTGTTGAAAAAAACTATTGTTCGCATCGTAAATATTGATAATTTAATACTTGAAGTACCCATTCACCATACTGGGTTTGTCTCCAGCTCGTACACTCTTTCTGCCATCCGGCTCTGGAATGCATTTCCTTTACACGTGCGTAACGCCCCAAACAGGAATGCGTTTAGGTCTTTGGCGCGGAAACATTATTTAAATTTATCGCAAAATGCTTGAATTTGAATTAGGATACTATAATCAGACACTGTATATTATTATTAGATATGTATTTATGTATGTATATATTTGTGTGTACCTATTATATATGTTGCTAGAATGTATATTTATATATGTATGTATATGTGATTAATGCTTTTTAATGTTTTCTCTGTTCGTTGTCTGTCGTTTTATTTTCTCTGCACCTTCTTTCCGGTTGACTGGTAGAGAATGCCATACTGGCATTAAGTCCGCCATTTGCATTGTAAAGGCAATAAAGATTAAATAAATACTTTAGACTCGCATCTGCAATGGGATCCTCATATTGATGCCTTATCAAGTAGACTGAGCTCTGCGGCCTTCGCTGTTAAAAAAATAAGACTCCTAACTGATGTGGAAACGGCAAGAATGGTTTACTTTGGTTACTTTCATAGCGTTATGTCATATGGCCTTTTGTTGTGGGGCTCAGCTGCTAATATAGAAAGTATTTTCGTACTGCAAAAGAGAGCTGTTCGCGCCATATATAATTTAAAGGCAAGAGAATCTCTTAGAGAAAAATTTAAAGAAATTAATATTTTAACACTGGCATCGCAATACATCTATGAAAATATAATATATGTAAGAAGAAACTATGACGCATTTGCAAAAAAAAGTCAAACCCATAACTTAAACACGAGATTTAAGAACAAGCTTGCCGTTCCATGTTTCAGACTCCAAAAATCAAGAGGTTCATTTCTGGGATGTAGTATTGCATTGTTTAACAAAGTTCCCCAAGATCTGATTGAGCTTCCACTAACTAAATTTAAATCTCAGATTAAGAATACTCTTATGAATAAGGGCTATTATAAAGTTAATGATTATCTAAATGATCGTAATGCATGGACATAGTGTTTCTTGTAATTTCTTATTTGATGGGTATGAGTCAGTTTTGTAACAGTAGTATGGTACCTATCTAATGCCGCTTCCTATATATACTAAATATAAAATTTGTTGTAACTATATATCTATACCCTAAATAATGTAATGGAAGGTGACTTCAGAAGTATGTCTGAAGTCATTTTTCAACTTGACGACTCTGTATATATCAATACAGGGAGAAAAAAGCAGCCCTTGCTGAGTTTCTTGCCGGTTCTTCTCAGTACAAGGTCTCCCGCCGTAGTTTTGCGAACCGATGGCGTAGCTTCTTGACTTTCACAAGTGCTTGTAACAGCCTAGACTGAATAAATGACTTTTCATTTCATTTCAATAAATAAATAAATAACAATTGTTCGCTTCAGCAAACATGAGCTACGTGTTCGACTTCAAGAAGAATAACGTGGCAGGCGTGCCGGACGGGTCCACCATCGACACGGACGGCAACCTGTGGGTGGCGGTGTTCGGTGGGTCGTGCGTGCTCAACGTCGACCCGCGGACTGGGAAGCTGCTGCGCAAGATACCCATACCCGCGCTACAGGTATAAGAAGCGGCACGAAACTCTAGCGCTCACCGTTATGCGCAGAAGTATAATGCGATTCAAATTAAAATAGGAAAGCCAATGACCTCCATCTGTCAAATGTCGCTTGAAAAGTACGGCTTGCAAAAAAATCTTGGAACCCTCTTTTAGCACTCGGCTAATAATGGAATAAAAACCAAACATTTGTAAACAAACAATAACAAATATGGTTAATTAATATTGGTTGATATTTTATTTTCATTTATTGAGTTTTGGCTATGAATGTTTGATAACCTAAATCGTCAACCAAATGTCACTTTAGGTTGCGTATAGAAACTCGATTTAAAACTTTGGTTTACATATAGAATGCATTTTCGTATGTGATTATATCTAGTAATAGTGCATGATTATTCATAACTACTCCGGCGGTAATGTAGAGATGCATAGTCTTAATAAATAAATATTATTAAAAATCGGTTATTTTCTTTTCTCAATTTTAGTCAATAAATTTTATTAAAAAATCAGATGTTTTTTCTCACTTAATCTTAGTAAATAACTTTTATTAAATAAAAACTTTTTTGCTCACCCTACCTTTTTCGTTTGAATTGACAGCTATGTCGTCACAATATGGCGCCCCGTCGATCCTATTCTTAGTTGAATCGCATTATAAAAATTAATATGTGTTGGGGCGAGACGAGGTGCTGCGTCCGATGACGGCTCAACTCGATACAATTGTGAGGTTTATTATGCACTTACCCAAAATCACTTGTTATTTCTCATGTAAGTGTCTGTAAGATTTTTTAAAGAGAATGTGCCGTTTCGGTATAAAAGAGCAGGCAACAATAGGGTACACAGATATTATTTTAGTTTACAATTTTTTTTTTTTTTAATTTCGGTCTAATTTCCTGAATTTCCTTGTAGTCACTTTTAATGTAAACCTTTGCTTCTTTTTCACGGCACCATGTATGGGAGCCCGGTAAATTGTTATACCTCACGCTCCGTAGGATGGCTCGTAAATTTTTCGAATAATGTATACAGCCTCCGTAAATGCATTTTTTCAGCAAGCGTGTTGATGATACACACATAAAACAATTAACATATTGCACAGAAGTGTTGGGGGGAAACGAGGTGCGCGGGTGGGCGTGCGTTACGCCGATTGGCTCTCCAGACGTACCCATGTGCAGCTCTGACGCGTTTTCTTCGGCGCTAGAGTTATGTGCCGCGACCTGTATTCATTGTTGTTTGAATCTAAAGAAAATTTTCCTAGAAAAAAACCACGTGGAGCAAACTGGACTCGAACCGCACCCTCCGCTATCCGGGCGGATGCACTGACCAATTATGTTACAACGACCTTAATGGCCGAGTCGAATTGAACGACGAACTTGTATTTCTTGGGATCCAAGATTGTAAGGCCCTTCTGGCCCTAAGCATGTACTACGGGTGTGTTTAGTTAAGAAAGTCAGTAAGAGTCTGACATACCATTAGTGTCGCCGCACACGGGCCACACGCCACAGCCATAAACGCCGCCACGAGAAGCTAGAAGCGGCTACTAAAGTGGCTGAAGCGCGCGACAGCGGCCGACTAAGGCAAGGGAGAGAGGGGTGGGGATCCCGCGAGTGGCGTGTGGCGGCGTTTTGTATCGGCGCATTAAGTGGCCGGTGCGGGCCATAAGAAGCGAGCAACGGCGATTTGTAGCGTGTGGCGGCCACCGGCGTACCGTGTGTGGCGAGTCCATATAGAATGTATGAAAACTACAAGAAATATGCCAGTGACGGCTTTTTGTGGTTGTGGTCAGTGGCCCGTGTGCGGCGACACTTACAATAACCGTAATCATCAATGGCCCGGGGCGACAGATTCCTAAATACGCCCCTGCTGTTACTTCAGATTGTTGGGGCTATGGTTTCTGTATGATGAATACGAGCATTTGTATGTAGGTATTTATAGATAATTATACGTATGTATGTATTCTCATATCTCATAACACAAGTCTTACAGTGCTTAGGTACTTTGGGGCTAGGCTTATTGGTGTATTAGAATTATTTATTTATCTTAGCATCATATTGTATAGCGTTTATTTATTTCCAGTCGCCCCGCGGGGACGGCCCCCGGGGGCAAATGGGAATGAAGTCATTGCCCCCACTTCAGTTTTTTATTCCCATTTGCCTCCGGTGGCAATCCCCGCGGGGGCAACTCGGAATATACATTATATAGTATCTTGTAGTGTCTTCGTTGCTAGCAAATCGTTTTTTCTCAAAAAAATTTTTTGGGGAGAATTTATTTATATAATACCCTATACACTTACTTACATCCAAATCTGTTCAGGCATTTAAAAGTACTGTTTTACTGTGTTAGAAAGTCACATACAATATAATCTTTGAAAACATAACACTACTGTTTTAGTAGTCGAATAAAAACTGATATTAGTGGAGCTTGTATGGTTTTATTATGTACTCAAATGACCCTTCCCATCAGGTGACCTCAGCCACGTTCGGCGGGCCTAACCTGGACACCCTGTACGTGACCAGCGCCAGTATGAACATTTCCGGGGAGCAGCTCCCCCCCTGCGGTGCCACCTTCGAAGTCACGGGGCTGGGTGTTAAGGGACACCCCAACCTCAACTTCAAGTTGTGATGTACGCAGCTTAATTGTTGTTGCATATAGAGAATTGTGTTATTTTTATATGAATATACATAATACTGGTGTCAATGTCTGACACGATTCTCTAAACCTAAACTTAAATTTGACAACAGTGTATCCTTGTCATTCTCTATACGGAATGAAAAGGAGAGATTGATGTTAAATTTAGTTGTAAGTTTAGAGAATTACGCCAGAATCGACACCAATACCTAGTTAGTTTTCGTCCTTTTAGACGTAATGTACCTACGCCATTTATATGTATTGAAAAAATATGTACCTAGCTGAAAAGGTTTTATTGTAATTAAGAGATTTTTTGAATTTCCTAATTATACAATATACGAGTAAGTAGTTAATCAATAATGCATTGAGTAAATGTAATTTTTACCGCGACATTCACCTATGACATTCCAACAGTTATATATATGTCAAATAAATTTTATTTTATCTAACGTAATACATTTACTTATATAGGTTGTATAGCTGTATACCTTTTGTAATTGTGTTTATTGAAATACAAAAGAAACTTGTAAATGTTGTTTTAAGCGGATGCTGAATCCCATCCATCACAGAGTCTTATAGAAAATAGGGGATGTGACATGGGAAATGGCTTATACCTTTTGTAGTAGGTTTTATTTCTTTTTTTACTAATATAAGGTGAGGTTTCAAATGTTACACATCATACGAGACTACTGTAAGGCTCGCTCGTTTTTTTTATTTGTCTTATAGCTAACTATTAGATAGAATAGCTTTTCTTTTGCTTATTGTTATTATTATTATGTTTTTCCTCCATTCAATGCTGTTGAAACAACAATGTATACATTTCAACTGTCCGAAGGTATTGTACCGTCCGTGGAAGTCTTGCTATCTGTGACTGGGTCTGGTGACCTGATGATGATGATGATTGATTTGATTTGAAAGAGTGATAATATGTGTTTACTTTGAACCAAGATCTTGTTGCACTTTTATGATATTGACAGGAGGGACATGACGCTTGTTTTATTTTTGTCACTTCCACCATAACGGCCACGTGTTGAGAAAATAAAGTTGATCGTACTTGAATATAATACTGTTCTTGCTGCATTCTCAATATGAAAAACCCAAATATATTTGAATGCAAACAAATCTCTTCACAAAAGAACAGGGGATTAGGATCACGCAAGTCACACAAATGGTCTCCATTTGTTAAGCCAATTGTTGCAATCTATATACTTATAATAAATCTGTAGAGATGTCCATTCTGTACATGAAATATATTTTTAAAATAACTATCAGGGGGTGATTAGTGATCGATACTGATGCCAAAAATGCAATCAGTAAAATTTTTGTCTGTCTGTCTGTCTGTCTGTGTGTATGTTCCTTATAGAAACAAAAACTACTCAACGGATTTTAACGAAACTTGGTACAATTATTCTTCATACTCCTGGGCAGGTTATAGTATACTTTTCATCACGCTACAATCAATAGCAGCAGAGTAGTGAAGGAAAATGTTGGGAAAACGGGAGAAGTTACTCCATTTTTTAAGCTTCCGTCGCGGGTGCAGCCTTAATGGTTAAAGTTACATAGAAATCATGTATGACGGAAATATTCTACATAAAATTGTCTAAAAAATATCCCGCAACAGCATATGTCTATCTTTTATGGTTGACTCACAATAACACGTGTAATTATATAAATAAAGTCATTCTGTATAGCACAAGCCTGAGAACAAAAACTATAGTTTACACTACAGCTCTACACCGAAGCGAAGCGAGGGCGGGCCACTAGTCTGCAATAAACGTTTATTTTCAAAATTTGAATTTATGCGAATCGAATTATTTGATTATAGTCGTTTCTGTAGCTGTCATCTTCAGGAAGGCAATAAAAGCTAATTATAATTAGCTTTTAATATTTTTTATAAGAACGTTTTCATCATTGGGGAAAGTAAGGTAGGGCCCCACTATACTTCAAACAAACAAAGTCTTTGTACAAGAACTACCACATGACTTCGTCATCAGCCTTTTAATGTCGTCACTGCTGGGGCACAGTCCTTCAATATAGCGCGGGCCCAGTGCGGATTGGTGGGTGCTAACGACTGCAGATACAGCCGGGGAAACGACTGAACGTTCCTTCCTTAGCACGGAGGAGCTCGAGATAGTAAATTTTTGGTCACTGATCCACTGCGAAAGTTGCTAATGTACTTTATTATGTGTAGCTATATTGCCATAGGCCCTATCCACTATAAAAAAAATGGGTGCGTGTACTTATGTAGGTGCGTGAGAAGTTATCCTTCTTTGGCATCGTTTAAAATTAGTTTTTAATTGCATGCAAATAATTAATTACAATAAATTAATAAAAAGTCTGGAAAAGGACACAGTCAATAAAGTTCAGTTTTAATTTGAAAAAAGAAATAAATAATCAAAATATTCAATTAAAATCGCTACTGAATATAATTTATTAGAACATATGTGATTTGCACTTGTATGAAACTCAAACACGTATTCCGAATATACAAACTAGAAACATGTGGATAAATATTATAAATATGAATACCTATAACTGTTACTTTATTACAAAAAATAAAGATGTGGTTTTTGGTTCTACTACACCAATGGTCAAGAGATGGCGCTGTAGTCTCCTGAATCGCGCTTTGGTTCCGTTGTTCCAGATTAATAAATACTTTTGATAGGCCTTCACAATGCAGTCGTTAGCACCCACTAAATAGAGATTCTATTTCTATTTTTTGTTAGAATTGAAACAGTAGAATCTGTTCAAAACAGCCTGCCACTGTAGATGCCGAAATTAATTCGTAATACAAAAGACATCAACGCACCGGGCTACGCGGTCCATAAACTGGAGCACGATATCGAGTATCGAGTGTATTAAGGTTGGAGTTGACGCGAAGAGTTTTGTCACTAAATAATATTATATTACAATAATAACAGTTAATGTACGACCTTCATTTGTCTTAGAACAACGGTTACAATTTTAGTAAAATAACACAAAAGCAGTTTTGAATTAAGATTCGAAGCTAGTTCCTGTAAATAAAACAAGTTTCAACGGGTTAGATGAACTGATTTTATTTATTTATTGACGTTTCGCACCCTTTGCAGGAATGCGTCGTCAGAATAATAAATTGTTATATACTTTGTCGAGCTACCATCGAAAGACTTTTATTGAGCGTTCGGAATATTTCATTGGAAGATTTTTAAATCTTTATTGTCTACTAGCGACCGGCCGCGACTTCGTACGCGTGGAGTTAGTTATTTTAAATCCCTCCCTCATTTATTATTTCTTTATTTTATTTCTAAAGATACATTATTAGTACACCTCTACACCATCTTTAGAGAATACATGTTAAATTTCAAGTCTCTTACTTCAAAAACATAGGACTTTCATTCAAATTTCCAATCCCCCTATTACCCTCTTAGGGGTGGAGTTTCGTGATAATATGTAGCCTGTATGTTGACCCGACTTCTTAATAATATTCGAGCCAAAATTGTAGTAAATCCATGCAGTTATCCAAAATTCTAAAAACTATATTTTTGGCTTCGGTATCAATTGTAGAACACACCCCAAGTATTCTTTTAAAAAAATATTCAAAGTACAGTTTTGACTTTCTTACCATTATATTATAATGTATAGATGCATGAATTTATTAGCTATTTTAATTAATAAAGTACTTTATATAAAACACGAGTGATGTGCTTAAAAACCCTAAGCAACAAATAGTTCCTGTAATTTTTTCCATAAATTATGAATGTTATTTAAATCACACATTTCATGGAACTTTTTTCGAATAAAATGAAAAGAACACTGTTCATTCGTTATTATTGTGATTTTAGATGAAGATTTGTTTGGATTAATCCAGATGCACTATTGTAGTGAATTATTCAAGTAGGTATCTCTAAGTTTTTTTCTATGTCATTATTAACTATATTTATGTTCTAAAGAAAATATAACTAGAAAAGCTTCCACGCGGACCAGGCAGCAGACGGGACTCGAACCCGCACCCTTCGCAATCCGGGCGAATGCACTGACCAATTATGCTACCGCGGCCCTCACGGACCGTGTCGAAATTCTTCTAGCCATTCTTAAGCTGTAAGGCATTGTGGGTTACCTATAATGCGAAGAGATGGCGCTGCCTTGCAGCTTAAGGCTAGGAAAAATTCGACGCGGTTAATAGGGCCGTGGTAGCATAATGGTCGTGGTAGCATAATCATTGAATAGGTCCTTTAAAATTACTTAGCGGACACTAAGACTATTTTTCGATTCAGGGATCCGTTTGCGAAATATTGAACTTAAAAATGATAATTTCGTGTAGGGCACCCCGCTCCCTCTAAAAGCTAAACTTGTATAACTTGGAAAAATTCATGATAATAGTACTTTTCATGATTTTTTAAGGAAAGTTATAACGGTTGAAATAGATTTGTTAGTTTAAAACTAATAGTCGTTTCACTTATGTATCAGAAAATTTCTGGCCTAATAAACTCATGCTCTCACTCAATAAGTACTTAGAAGAACATATCAAAAGTGACTTAGACGAAGTAATTGCTTAAAATATTAATATAAAAGTTACAAAGGCGGTTGGTAACGCCTACCAAACTCGTAGCAGAAATGTCGCCGTACTCAGAAATCTTGCTTGATATTTTTACTGTTCATTCATTACATCTCACACGCCTCTTGTGGCAACATCAAAATTCTATTAATAATTAAATCCATCAAAATTCAATGTGAGTTTATTTCAAAAAGTAAATTCCATCACGCTAAGAAGGCGTGAACAGCGGTTCATATTGAATTGGTTTCGAATTTGTCGATTGAAGCATTTGTAGCCGCTTAAACATCTGTCTGTCAGTCTGATAGAAAGACCAGTTTTGTTAAAGCAAACAGAAGTACTTCAGGAAGGTTAATCAATTATAATGGACAAGGAATACACCTTGAAGGAGCAGTTAAGGAAACAAAATATACACTGAGAATTTAACTCGCCTGATTTGCATGTCATAATAAGACTGTTCGAA